GTCGGATACTTTTGTACAGCGATTATTTTTGATTCATCTGTCTCGATCCCTTTTTTGCGATATTTTGTAACCTAAATATTTTAATTCAGGGGCTGCAAATTTGCACTTTTCGACTTTAACTTTTAGACCGGCCTCATTTAATAAAGAAAACACCTGTCTTAAATCCTGTATATGTTGGTCGAGATTATCACTAGTAATAATGATATCGTCTAAATAGATAAATGTGGACTTTCCAAGAACAGGTCTTAACACAATGTCCATGCATCGCTGAAATGTTTGCTGGGGCGCCTGAAAGGCCAAACGGCATACGCAAAAATGCATAAGTGCCAGACTTGGTTATAAAAGCAGTCTTAGGCACGTCCTCAGGCCTGACCCCTATTTGAAAATAATAACCATTCGTTAAGTCTAAAGTCGTCATAAATTTGGTTGATTTTATGTTCCTTAAAATTTCTTCTATGATCGGTAACGGATATACCGGATATTTCGTTATGGAATTTAATTTACGGTAATCAATAGCGAATCTCCACCTTTTTGGATGCTCCAAAGGATAATCATTATTTTTCTTACATAAAACCACCGGGCTAGCATAACTACTTGAGATGGGCGTTATGATCGTTTTACGTAGCATATCGGTAATATGCCATTCTATAATTTTTTCCTTATTCTTATCATACCGGTATGGTTTTTGACGAACCGGCAATGCATCTCCGGTGTCAATACTATGGTTAGTAACCTGAGTAAATCCTGGAATATCACTAAATAAGGAAGCAAATTCACTTACCACTTGTCGGATTCTATCTTGCTCGTCATTAGGCAGGTGGTCAAGATTTAACCTTGGCCGTTCAACCTTTTCTACACGCACTGGTTTCATTGTCAGCCTAAGGGACGCTTCATTAAAATCCAGTGTAGCTTGTGCGTCTGAAAGAAAGTCTATTCCTAGGATTAAATGTGCTTGCAAATTCTTTACTATAAAAAACATCACCTTTACTTGTTCGTCCTTGATACGGATATATAAAGGTACTTTACCTACGCACTTACATTCTTCTCCTTGCGCCGCTAATACTGTCGTATTATCCGCATTATATATGCGGTATTTGCGAAAATACTTTCTAAAAAAGACTTCTGCCACACAGGAACACTGCGCGCCGGTATCCAGGAGTGCGGTGGCCGGGATATTATTTACCAAGACTTCAATCTTCGGAAGAGTTAAATTTTTCACCATTACTGTATTTAACTTGTAGGAAGAGGGATTTTCGTGGCCTTCGGATTTCCGCACCCTCTCGTCAGCAGAAATCCGTTTTAGTTTAAATTATTTTTCCTTTCCGTGCTTTCCTTCTTTCTCCACTGGCCTTGAGACTTTTTTCCTGGGTTGCTATTGAACTGTCGACGTTCGCCGGCTGTTTTTGAATGCTCGGGTTTTCCTTGCCCACTGATTCGCTTTTTCTCCGTAGCCATGTGCTTGAGTTTGCTGTAGTCTTGGCGTACCAAATTGGTTGCGCTGTTGATATTGGCGTCTTCTTTCGACGTCCGCCGTTCTTCTACTTTCAAACTGGATTGCTAGCTCAAATAACTTTTCCAGTGTAGTCGGATTTCGTAATTCAATAAAGTCTTGCACTTGGGGTAGTAACCTCGGCAAAATCACTTGAATTATTTCAGGATCCGGACGGTTTCCATACAAGAGCTTGAAAACGTGAATTTTTCTTAAAATAAAGCTCGACAGGTTTTCGATTCTTTGTTGATATATGCTAAAAAGTTCCGTTTCTAATTTCGCACGATCCCTTACAACAGGGAAGGCTTTTAGTAGGGCAGTCTTGAAATTTTCATAAGTATAGGTGGGACTTCCTGCTTGACCCAAGAGACTTCTGCCGATACATTTGAACCAGTTAAGCGCTTGGCCCCTCAAAGCGCTGGTAGCTAAGGTAACATTTTTGAAACTCGTGCACGGGGTAGAGCATGAAGTGGTCATCCAATTTTTCCAAAAAACTGGTTACCGGTGAGTTTCCATTAAACGTTGCTTCTGGTTTCATCATCGAAGCGCGCATGGTCTGGACGATGTACCCAAATCCTTCCAGGGCGGCAGCTGGCATTTCTGGATTCTGAGCCGTTTCTCTGCAGGCAGCACAGGTTCTTCTTGAAATTCGGCCATGGTTATTCTTCGTCGGGGGCCACTATCAGGTTCAATGTTTCTTCTAACCTTCTTCGGAAACATACAATGACCTGACTAGGAACAGAGAGCTTACTAAAGCTATGTTCACTAATTGTAGTAAGTAGACAGGATACAGACGAAGGGTATACAAAACCCTTTATTTTTCTTTATATACAATGACTTCCGTACTTCGGAATACAATGACCCTCCACTCGGGGTCTAACGTAAAAGGTATTAAAAATAAAACTAAACTCTAATTTAACTTTAGAATAACACACGTGGAAGATTGGCCTTATAATAACAGGAAGCGTATGTAGCACAGAGACTGTGAACACTACAATACGTTTAATTTATTAAGAGGATTAAAACCTCTGGCCTGGAAGGCAAATAGCAACTGCGTAACTTCTAAGGTAAGCGGCCTGCTTCGAACTCACTGCTTCCTCTCTCTCGCTCGGCAAAAAGGCCACACTTAAATACTTGGCGTTCGCCAGACAAACTTTGCATAAAATCCTTAACGCTTATAATTCTGGCCGGAAGTAGAAAATAAGAAGTGATAGTAAAGATTTAAAATAAAATAAACGTTAGTAAAACTTAAGATCCTTACACCATAAACTCTATATTCATTGAAAAAGAATCTCAATAAATTCCATACCTATATTTCATTCTTTTGGTTTTTAATTGCCTAAATTGAAGCCAGGATCTTACGACAAAGCGCACGTTAAACTCAACAAGTTTAAACATTAAATGCAAAATAAATTAATTAACTCTGAAATAATTTCAAGCCTAACCTTAAAAAAAACTTTTATTCTATTCAACAATTTTATCATAACCGGTGTTAAACTACCTTATAAGCAAACAGGAAATATCACTAAATATTTACAGTGATAGTCTCAAAAATTTCTATGAAAGATATAATAAAATTTGTTTCAATAGTGAATAATAAATATTCACAAAAGCTTACTTCCAAGATTAGATATTTACTATTTACTAATCATTTAAACTAAATTATGCTTGTTTCGTTAAAATCTAGCATGTCAAACATATTCACGAAATTAGCAACAACAACCAAAAAAAAAAAGTGTCCAAAAATGAAGTTAATACTGTAGAATGTTACATTTTAATACAAAATTTTATCAATAGATAGCCCTGTACAATTAATATCGCAGAAATGAGCAGATTAAAATTCTTTAAACAAACATTATTAATTGAGAGCTCATGATATGCTAGCTAGTACCGCAATATGCTCGCAAGTAAAAGCGAATCATTTGTCGTTTAAATTTTAAATTTTCTTATTCTACTCTTACAGTATGATAGTAATAGCGTCATCTATAAGTGAAAACTTAAATTAAAAATTATTCATCAAAATCGGTCTCTGTGCTAAATCTTGACAAGTAAACCGCATTCTTGTACGCCATTTCGTTGATTTCATATGGTTTTTGTTTTAGAGCTCACATTTATGGAACATCTATATTTTGTACTTCAGCTCAGATAATCATTTGTTTGTCATTTAACAATGAGTTTACTGTGAAGGAATGCAAAATAGAAAACATTTTGATAAGAGAATATGCAATTTAATATTTGGTAAATGTATATTTGAGGGTACCCCTTGGCGAAACTTGGCGATACATGGATACCGGGTTTGTGCAACTCTTTGACTTGTTATTTTGGCTTGCGTAGCGGCGATTTTTGGCGCAAAAATCACCAAAATACGCAAGCCAAAATAACAAGACAAAGAATTGCACAAACTCGGTATCCATGTACCCATCGACCTATTTTCACTTAAAACAAAATTTCCACAATTGCTCAAAAATGGCATTGCGCACTCCCTTGACTTTACCCATGTACACATCGACCTATTTTCACTTAAAAAAACATCAGAGAATTGCACAAACTACGCTAAATCGCCGCTACACAAAGCCAAAATAAAAAGACAGAGAATTGCACAAACTCGGTATCCATGTACGCATCGACCTATTTTCACTTAATAAAATATCCCAGAATCGCACAAAAATGGCATTGTGCACTCCCTTGCCTTTATCCATGTACACATCGACCTATTTTCACTTTAAAAATATCAGAGAATTGCACAAACTAAGCTTTGCGCACTCCCTTGAGTTTGTCCATGTACACATCGAACTATATGCACTTCAGAAGTCAAAGGAGCAGCCAATAAAAAATATATATAATCTCAATAAACTACATTTTAAATCAAACACTGAAATAAGATGAAAAAGGAAATTCATCTTTGCACTACACAAAGGAAATATCCACTTACCTTATTTACGAATTCACACCTCTTCAGTCAAAGAAAACTCCTTAACAGCATCCAAAAACTTCCTATATTCCTTCCTTTCATCAAAATCTGTATACTGGCGTCGCCACGTAAATTCACTAAATAAGAGTCAAAAATATCCTTCGTAACGACGTTCGATCATATGCATTTCCTTCCTACAAACAAGACACTTTATAATAGCTACTAAGTAAACCTTCATTTACACACTAGTCAAGTAATGCTCTTTTCCCCTTTCTTTCCAAATCGTACAGAAACTTAAAATGAATCTTACCACATTTGGCCATTTTACCGTCTAAACCACGAAAACAAGCAATATACTTCCTAACCAACACACACAACCACAAGCCCTTACGAATTTACCACAATGATTACGTCATAATATTCCAGAATATTCAACTACTCAGGCTACCATAAATGAAACAACAACTTGGCGATAAATGAAACAGCAACTTCGCGATAATACAAGGGGTACCCTAAAGTCAACTCTAACCTAATATTTTTATACTTCGAGAATAGAGAATTTTCGTCATCATTTAGAGAACAACTACTTGAGTAACTTACTGGAAATCAGAAGAAAGCTGAACGATTTCATTGCTGCTTCTTCCGTTGCAAAGAGTGTTCTGCTTGTTAGGAGCTCTCGAATTGTAGGGATGATTTTCATCCCCACAAATTTTGCTGACCTGAGAAGCATATTGGAAAAAGCATATCACCACTTGGTTAAAAAAGTTACAGATCAGATCGTCTTAAATATTACTTAAAATTTTCATTTTTTTCTTGCACAAGTTAATGATTTTAGTGCTTCGAAGAATTATTATTTCTCCTATCCCTATGTAAATTTCCACATTCCCTGGTTTATAAGAGAAATCTGAAGAAGCTTTTCAGTTTTACGAAAACATGGAATATATCCTTCAACTTTTGTTCTGCATAATAATTCATAAAAATAGGAATTTGATTATGAAAGGGAAGGTAGGTTTAGAACAGCTTTACACTAGGGTTTAATTGCTTTTCAAGAACTATGTGGTACAAAATACAGTCAGTCTAAACAACCAAGCACAGTTTCCTATTTTTAGCCACAGAAACTGACTTCATCTCTCCAATAACTCAGTTCGATATACCGTCGTTATTGTCTTCACTTCTTGTGCATTCCCGATATGATCGACCTCTTTCCAATTTTACCCTACACTATATATGATTTTTCAGTGTAAAGCTCTCACGATTCTTGTTTTTAATGTTGTTTTAGTTTGCTTTTTCTTAGGGAAGGAAACCTTTTTTGTTGATCCTTCCTTCGTTTTAACTTATTTTTTTATGATGAAAGATTTCACAAGAACTCTTTGCTTTTGTGAAGCGGAAAAACTTGGTTTTGATATGCGATATGTTAAATTATCAAAACATTATACTTGCATGAGTAACTGATAAAAAGTACCGTTGCTTTGAATTATATATGCTGTATTACTTGTTACCATACTTTTAACGAAGATTTTATTTGGGCAATTTGTTAACATTTAATTTTAGTTGGCTTAATATATCATTTATATGGTCCTAATTACCATAAATATTTATTTTACGGAACTCATCTGGAATTTTTTATATGCGTCTTGGAAAAAATATATTTCAATCCGAAACTTTTCATTCTTTTGCCTTCATATTACTAATAAATATGAGCAATTATATTTTAAAAGCATTATTTTTTAACTAAATATGTGCATTCATAGTCGAAACTCCCCTTACAGACACTCCCTAACTGCCATTCCTCAAAGAGACGGGTTCTGAATATTCAAATTCTCAAAGATAGACTAGTGTTTATTACAGAAGATGTAATAAAGAGTCTTTCATACACATTATTATAAGAATGTTGATATAAATATTACAACTGCATTTAGGATACTAAAGGCTTAAATTAAAACTAATATCAATTGCACTTTATACTAGATTTTTAAATTAACAAGAAAACATATTGTTACGGATTTGGTATTTAATTTTAGTTAATGTTAGTAGAATTATAAATAAAATTGTTTTATTCCCCGTGCAGTGCAGCGCGTGAAGAATATTAAAAGCAAGCTAAGCCGGAAAATTAAAAATACAAGAGCACGTGCATTTAACATGTAATAAAAAAATATCTCTTTTTGATTTCGAGAAAATAACAGAAAATTCTCGCGCATTTAAAAAGCTTATATAAGCGGCATGAAAACCTCTCAGTTCGTTATTTAGTTAGTTGTTGTTTTAAGAGTTTGTTTAGAAAACTGCTCTTGTTGACTGTAGCGAATTCGCGGATTAACTTTCTCTAGCTGTTTTGAATCAAGTTCTGTTCAACGTTTAAGTAGTTAAAGGATAACTTCTGTGAGATATTGTAATCTGCACGAATATCTGAAGAAATTGAAGCATTTTGTTTTATATTTGTTGTGATAATAATAAATTTTGTTCATTTTTCATCGGACTTGTGGATTCAATTCTAACGAACCCGTACGCGTTCAACAATATTATTAATAATATAGAACAAAAGGTATCATTTGCATGATTACTTGAGTCAAATTCGTATGAAAATACATCAAGGACGATGTAACAAGATTAGCACTCTTTTCTTCAATCAAAATTCGACATTCCGAAGGAAGCATGTCTGGCAAACCAGTCTGCTCATCCACTGATAAAATACAGTCTTCATTACCCTTCCTAAATCAATAGAATATGTTTCAACGCAAGTATATGTAAGTCAAGTATTAAGTGCAATAGGCAGATCACAATAAGTAAATTTGTCTCTAAAAATATATCATATATTAATCCAAGATAATTTCATAATAATTAAAGACAAAGAAACAGCAGTTACATCCTTAGATATGTACTTTTCGAGAAACATTAAGATCTGACTGATTTAATTTTATTTTCGATTTAATGTAAATCAATAAATCACTTAATATCGCGAACTCTTAAATTGTAAGAATAATACAGCTTGTAACCTACTCTGTTTAAAAAGTAAATTAATAAATAAATTTAGCATATACAGTGGGAATTGTTTGTACGCCTTTTATATTTATACGTCGTTTCAACTTGGTTCCGATTCAATACTATTTATTTTAGTATTAAAATACTTCTTTTATACGTCGTATAACTTCACTAATAAGTCGTTTTTGCTTAACTTGCTGCGTTCGTTCTACATTTCGCAGTCCCGTGATCAAGTTACGATGTTCCTCAATACTTTGTTTTCCCTGTTAAAATGTAGAGGAACCTATGGAACTAAGTAGCGACTTATCGCTGAGTTCAGTATTTACGACAGAGTCTGAAGAAGGGTTAAAATAACCTTTTATTCACTCAAAGAAATAATAACAGGTGGTCCCTTCTCGGGCTTACAGGAAAGCCTCAACTCGGGCTTTTAACTCAAGATAAGAAAATAAGAAACTAATCTACTACTAAATTAAACAGACTTTGCCAAAACTAGACACAAATGCTTAACGTAGTTGACCCTTAATTTAACCTAGCCGGCGATTATCACCAGGCACGTACAACACAGCCGAGCGCAGTAGATTTAAGAAGAATGAAGTAGTCAGACGGCTAACACAAGCCAATAAAGACTCCTAAGCTTTCTCTCTCTCAAATTAAGTTCAGCCTTTCTTAAATACTACTTCTAATTTATTTGTATAAAACGCCATATTAAAAACCATTCTGGTAAGGAATAGTAGATGGCAAACGAGGATAGACAGTAAAGTATGTTTAAACTTAAAATAACTGTTAGAAACTTAAAGCAATCTCTACAAAGCACTTTTTCAAGAAATGGAGCTAGGAGAAGGAAACAAAGGCACGACATAACTCAGTCTGGTACAGGAGTTGTAAAACAAGTTCATAAATAGCGAGGATACTTAAAAGAAAAAATAGAAACGGTTTTTTTTTTTTTTTCTTCAGAACAGGACGTTGTGTTAAGTAAAGAAGGTGGATCAGAATTATCTGGTACAAAATGTCACTAAAGCGGAGGACTCTCAAAAAGTAAAGATATAAAATTCAAATCTTTACAGAATTTGATGAAAATACTGGTTTGAAGAATGTTGAGTTAGCAGAGAAACTGGATATTAATGTGACCACACAAAAAATAGTTTTTCACATTAGAAAAAAAGTTGGAGAAAGAGCAAAAATTTGTGGGCAGTGCGCTTCAGAGAAATTAAGTGTTCAAGATAGAATTCCTGAGGTCGAAGCCATTTTGCTAAATTTTATAATTCAGTGTCGTGCATTAGATATTCTATTCAATGGCCACATGTTAATCAAGAAGTCAAATTAAATAGTACTTCGAATAAATGTGAAAGAAGCTTGTTTTTCAACTGGATGGCTGAATAAATTGAAACTATGGAATGGAATCTCATTTCATATTATATAAGGGGAATATGGGGAATCAAAAAGCGTTCCTGCTGAGTCTGTTAAATAGTGGTTCAAGAATTTAAGCATTAAAATAAATGGATGTGAATTAAAAGGAAAGAAGTCAAAAGAAATAGCACTTATAATGAATATGAGGAAGCCTGCGTTTCAAGTGGATGGCTGAATAAATTTAAACTGTGGCATGGAGTCACTTGTTATAGTATAATAGGTGTGTAGGGTTTATATTTATTTTAACTAACATTTATTTTAAGTTTAACTATCTTTCCTGTCAAGCCTTACTTTCCCCTGGAACTGCCAATGCCAGAGTATGTAAATTTTAGTAGAACGCGCAAGGATTCAAATTATCAGCGGAAGTATTCTGAGTTAAATAGAATGGAAACGAGTTCGAGGTGTGCTGTTCTTACTTCACGAGCGCGGAGGTAGTTAGCCAGAAATTGAAGAACCCCGCGTTTCGGCCTGTGTGCTTGCCTAGGAGAATTGTTAATCGTTCAACGTGATATTCAAAGTTTGCTGAATTAGCAGCGGTATTGTAAAACGCGGTGAGGTTAGTTACGTTTAGAGAGCTCGTAGTTAGAGTCTTGTTATTATTTCTTTTCAGGTTCTTATTTTTATTTTACCGCCGGGTCGGCGTAGTTTGTGAGCGTCAAGAGCACGCAATTGTAATTTCTTAAGTTGAATAAAAAGGGATTTAAACCCTTAGCAAGACTCTGTCTATTTTCCAGTTTCAACAGTCACCTTGGTTGCGTGCAGGTTGGAGGCGTGCAACTCTACAGGTGAAAAATCAAAAAGCGCTCCTGCTGAGTCGGTTGAAGATTGATTCAAGAAATTATGCACCAAAGTAGGTGGAAATGAATTAAAAGACATTTTCCATATTGATGAAACTACTGTTTTCTTTAAAATTATACCTGCAAGAACCTTACTGTTGTACTTCGTGTAAATGCTGACGGTACATGACTCCTTTAGTTATAAGAAAGCCGCAAAAACCAAGGTGCTTCAAGCATGTTAAAACTCTGCTGTTGGAATGTAAAGCAAATAAGAAAGCATGGATGACTACGGACATTTTTACAAAATTGGGGGGGGGGAGGGTTCAATAGACAAAACCGCAAAGTTTTACTATTCATGGATTAGTAAATAGCCCATCTTCAAACGACAGATTTCCTGCAAAGTGTGAAATTTGGTCTAGTGTAGTATCACCTTTAGAATTAATTCAAGAAGCTTTGAGAATGTGTCATTAAGAATTGTAAAATGTTTACAGGCAAAGTTTGATTCAAATAGCCTTTGCTTGTTTGTAAACCCTTTGCTTTTCTTATAGATTGCAATTTAAGGAAAGCAAAGCGCCTTTTTTATTTATGATTAAGAAAATTTCTATCTCAGGACATAGGTTCATCTTCTTTCCATCCTTAAACCTGAAATCTATCAAAATTTCATATGAGAACGAAACATTTCTATCTTTTAATACCACCATTTACCTTTATTTCCGATCAGTAGAACTTCTGTTTCCTTTGCCAGTGGAAGCATTCTTGAATCGTTCAGAATAAACGGCGTGTTAGTTGATACATAAGCTCTAGAAGGTATCTTTCCTTTCACGTATATTCTGCCATGTTTCTTTTAATATTAGTTTCTCACATATTGTTTAATAGACCAGTCTATTATTAGTAGCTTACCGGATTTCTAATTCATACAATGGGGAAAAAAAGCAGGTCATCACAAAATTACGCCTTCCTTTAACATATGGATATCCAAACTTTCAAAGATTCTGGATCGCATGACTCGACAAAGATAGCAAACAACTAGATGGCCGAAATGCCCAACAAAAATAATCCAAGCTCCACATACAGAATGAAATTTCTAATAATAACCGCAATATCACACACATTACTTCTGCAATAAAAACCACTTTTTCTCTTTATTTACGTAAAAAACGTGATAAAGAGAGAAAGATAATCGATTGTTTCCTGATGGCTATAAATTACATTCCAAAAAAGCATTTTATTATTTAATTAATGATTAAGCGTTGGAGTGGCAGGAAACAGTACACAAGGCAAGCTATTTCAGTTACGTAATGGCACGTGACCTATCAGCAGTTCCGTAAGACATAAGGTCTTTAATCGATGATCTGTGCGACCTAGAGAATTAGCAGCTGTCAGCGGCATCTCCTTCCGATATGACTTAAAATGTTTAACATATATTTCAAATCAGAATTATATACGTTGCTTAGCAAACTGAAATATAAGAAGCAATAGAAGCAATTTTTATTATATTTTTGTTTTATTTTTCAAATTTCCAATTAATGTTATAAGGTATTTCTGCCACCTCCCTAGTGTGCCTTCGTGGTGTAGTGGCTCTGCACGCTGGGCCGGTATTCCAAAGGTCCGTGGTTCGATTCCCGGCGAAGGCGTTTGCTATTTTTTATCTTTCCGACTTCCAAAATCCTAATGTCTCTACAATGTTGTTAATGACTCATCTAATTAATATAGTTCGCAACGCATCTCATTAAAGACATTTTAAACCCTTCTACTTTCATTATAATTAATAGAATGTATTCTAATACGATATACGAGTATAATAAAGTTACTCTAAGCTCATGTGCAGAGTAATCGCTGACTTGCTGTCCAACAAACATTTTGAAAGGATTGGTAGTCGCTAGTCTGTGTATTACGGCAATTACAGTGGAGACTAAGAGGCGAAATTAAGAATTATTTAAATTACATTTTGATAATTGGACTTTCAAATGCCAACGATTAATAGAAAATTCTTCTTATATAGGCGAAAAAAACTCCGAAAAAATTTTTCTATGTGATAATGAATATATGCTGCATAAATGCCTTGCTGTAATCTAAATTAAACAAAAACAAACAAACAAACAAACAAAAAAAACCATGAACTTCTTCCCATTGTGTGAATTCTTTGTAAATAATTTTTCAAGGAATGTAGAAGGTATATTTTATGAAATGTAACAATGTATAGTAGGTGCGAGCGAAATGGCTACGAAGTAACCAGTTCACACTTATGTTCATTTACATAAACACTGCGAGTGATTTATTATGTCTAGTGTAAAGCATATTTAATAAATCCCTCGAAATGTTTATGTAAATAATAAGATAAAATACTGAAATAAGTATATTTTGAACTATATTCGAAAAACTGCTTCTTTTTAGTCAAAACCACTCTATAATAATGCCAATTCAAATTTCTATACTGTTAAATTTCTTAAGGCCAGGTGGTATTTCGTTGAATAAGAATAATAGTACTATTTCATGATCTTACTTGAAGTAATATTCTGCAGGTGGATGAATGCAGTTCGTAATTTGTATATCTGGTTCGCCCGCAACTTTGTAGTACAAAGGATACATTTTATCTGCCTCAAATCCATGTTCATCAAACACCCCATAACGAAATTTCAGCCACTCTCTCGCAAAAAGTTTACCTGAGAAAATTATAAACATTCTAAATATGATGATAAAGCATATAATATGTGAACTGTATTTGCAATTATTACCAGTTTATTTTATAATTTGTAACATTTCTTCGAGAATAAAAAGTTAAAATGGAACTGAAAGTTTTAAATAAAATTTTCAATTCTATTTCTAAATTTTCAGTTAAAATAGAACTGAAAAAAAAAAAGCGCTTTTAGAATATGTCTTAAATATGTTAACTATGCATAAAAAAGTTCTTGGCCGATATAATCTTCAAAGGAATACCAAACATTTAAGGAACATTAACATGAATAAATCAAATTCTAGTGAATAACCTTCAGTGCATAATCATTCATGCAAGCAAAATATGTCAAGTAGCAATATATATTTGACTTGTATAAATCATATCTATACAAACTTGATTAAAATATAATTGCTTTCTACTCTTAAGGCCTCAGATAATCCATACATAATTATAGAAGATGAATCTGCAACTGACTGAATGTCAGTTCGCGTTTGCTTCGTTGTGATTGGTTGGGTCTTGTATTTTGTTGGAATAAAGTTCAATACTTAGAACGGAATGAACATTCTTAGGTGGGTTTTTTCTTTTTCCTTCATGAATGAAATTCTTCCCTTTCTTTACATTTTGCAATTTTCCTTGTCCACGTTTAACATCACTTTTCTCTTCCTGAGACACACCTTCCTTTAATTCATCTTCAACTACATCTGTTTCTTCTATACGGTTTTCAGTTTTATTAAGAATATAGCATTAAGTCGTTTACTTTGGATTTATATGCTTTATTAATATCTGAACAATTATCTAACGCATCTTCTTGATCTACATTTACATACATTAAATTCCATTCATTTTCGTCTTTCTTTTCATCATCTGCTACTTTCATAGATATGCCGTTCTTGTTTATAATAATTTCCATTTGCGAAAGCAATTCATTTCCAAGAACAGCATTTTCTTTCATTGTTTCTTGAGGCACAACATAAATATTTGATTTAATTTCGCAATCATCGATTCGTATGGAACCTTTAAAATAACCAATAGGTTTTACTTTATTGTTACCAAAGGCTACTAGAATCAAACTGGAAGAATTAATATTAGGTGAACCAATTATTTTGTAAATGTTTTCGGATACTATATTTATATCACTTCCTGTATCAATGAGAGCTTTTACTTCTACATTATCTATCGATACAATTTTATGCATATCATTTAACTGCTTCTTTACAAATATATGATTCACTCTGGCAAGGTCTTTTATATGTGTCTTATTTTTTATACATTCTACGGCTACGTGACCAAATAAATTACAATGAAAGCATTTTTTTCCCTTGCTCTTATTTTTGCAAAAATTCTCCGCGTGACCAAGATTTCCGCAATTATAGCAACGAATATTTGTTTTTATTTTACTTTCAAAATGATCGCGTCTGGTTTTAGAATTAGGCTTAATGGATTTGTTTTTATTATTATCAAATTTAATTTTTTCATATATCTTAAGTTTTTCCTGAAATTCTGCCAACGTTTTACAACCATAAAGAATAGCTTTATTAAATGTAGAATCATTTATACCTTTAATAACATATTCAAATAAAGCGGCGTTTTCAATATTACCTTTGGAACATAGATTTTTAATTACCAAAAAATATTCATATAGAGATTCTTTTTCCTGCATTTTACGTTTCGATATTAATTCATGTAACTGAGCAGAGTTATACTGAACACCATATTCATTTACTAATAAAGCCTTAACTGCATTCCACGAATTAATTTTCGTTTCACTTTCAATAAATAATTTTGCTTTGCCAGTTAAAGATCTTTTGGCGAATATCAGTTTCTGTAATTCATTTAGTTTTAACAAATTAGATACATCCTCAAAGTTTTCAATGAATTTGTAAACCGAATTATAAGCATTACCATCAAATTTAGAAATCAAGCTTTCAATATCATTAAAATTTATATACATATTTGAAAACTGTGAAAACGGAAATTGAACTGACGACTTACTAATATTTTGTTTTACCTCATGATCTTCATCAATAACAGCAAAAGAAGAGTCGTTGAAAATTCGAGCAGTTGATGCATCGATTTCACTATTAACAGAAATATTCCTTCTTTCATCCAATATTGCTTCATATTCCTCCATTTGTTGTTTGTAATTTGATCCCGATTCTGACACCAATTTTGTGGGTTCTTTAGTTTCAAAATCACAATTCATATTCAAACAAAACACATTTAATAAAACATTAATACATCTATAAGATCGTTCATCTATTAATACAGCATATATATCATCTTACATCTATAAAACAACATCTATATCATCGTATATATATTAAACGCAACATCCATAACATCTTATAGCTCTTAATAAAACAAAGTGGCTAGAGTTCTATCAATTTCACTCGTGCTAACAGCTAAAATTTAGACAGCGCGCGAGGAAAAATATTAAGGATTTAAAATTATGGATTTAAAATCCCATATATATATATATATATATGTAAGGAAGAATGTATATTTGTACGTTTGTTTGTTTGTTCGCGTTATTGATTTTTGATTAATTATGATAAATGTTTTGCCACATTTAATCGACTAAAACTGAATATAAGTGAAATATTGGATGGAACTTGAGCTTTTATGACCATTTGATTAGAAAGACCAAAATCATTTAAAATGCGTTCCATTGTTGCTGATATAATGAGAGAGTTATTTTTCTATCGAAATTTTTTATGTTTATTTTTCTATCGAAACTTCTACTAAGAATAAGAATTAGGCAATATTAATACCTATTCTTATAGCAAGTTAATGCATGTAGATTATTCGTTCTCCCCCTCCAACTCTTTTTGCAATTGACAAAAACCGCATTATTTAGAGGATGATCCAATACTAATTTTACTGGCTAATATCTTAGCTCAAAACAATTAATACCTATAGCGATCAGTTTTCTGTATATATTTTTATCGTAGTTATATCATTCAAAGATTAAAAATTAAAAGTATTGTCTTAGTTAATGCTCCCCAGGTATGGATTCTTTCTGATATACTGTCGTTTCAGATATTACGCGACTATTGACTCAAGCGTCAAAATCTTGCTTTTTGAAGAAAGCAATCTCAAAATAACACGTTTAGTTTCCTACAGACCACATGATAAAAAATTGGAAAATAATGGAAAGAATATAAAATAATTATTAAATACCTTTTGGGAATTCTTCTTTGGCTGTAAGAAAGTTTTCTTGAATAAATATATAACGTCCGGGTACAGAGCATCCTCCATACTGTAATGTAAAAGGGTAGTTCCCATAAGCACTGTTGGGCAGGTTCTCTACAAAAATATCTGGCGGTAAGTGAGTATGTTGTGGAGTTGCTTTCCCGACTGTCCAGTTAGATACATCCCAAATTCTGGGCAGAAGAAAAACTACGTTGGATATCTTCAATCCGATGGATGTATTCAGTACTTCTGATGCATCAGTCAGGACTTTCTAGAATTACAAAACAATAAATATAGCCCATAATTATGCTTATCAAAGAAATAGTAACAGAATTTAGTTCTGTCAAACTTAATTTCATATTATTTCATAAATATTTTAATAACGCTTTTCAGTATGATTATAATTAATATCATTGATAAATCGATTCTTGAACCTTATAATGATTTCTGGACGTGAAATGGGTTTGAAGTTTGCTAAGTTGTCACAAGTGCAACTACAGCTTAGGTTTATGTAACGGATTGGGTTAGGTTCTAGTTATTTGAAAATGAAAAAAACCTAGGTCTATCTGCCTAAACACAGAGATGCTTTCGTGGAGAATTTTATGAGAGAAACTGGCTTGCATTTACATTGTAAGGCGTAAAAGATGAGAACCTACCATGAAGCCAATCTGTTGAGTTCGAACTCCTGGCAAGCTATCACTATTCAGCAGTCTTTGACCGCACGGTGACTGGTGGAATTGTGTCATGAATAAGAAAGAATTAAACCAAGTTTATTTTCACACATTTAGTGTAAAAGCGAAACTTTCTCCACTGCAATCAAGTACTTTTCAGTCTTCAATGAATTTTCAATCTGAAGACTTTTATGTTTTCAGAAAGGGAAAGCTTATTAAAAAATGACAAAAGTATAAAACATAAAAATTCTAAGTTTATTCCACACTAAATGTGATTGCAAGAACAATTTTAGTTATATTTTTAATATTTAACTTAGAAATGCAATGTTAGTTCACTTCACAAAAGAATGATTTATTCAAAGGCAAAATGACCGCATGCGCTGGGCCCCTACTTTCAAAGGGACCTCCAAATCCTTCAAAACTACAGATATGTTTTTAAATCGATGTTAGAAATTTTTTACACTTTTAAAACATCGTAAACATAGCAAGAGGAACAAAATTTTAAACTTTTCCCATGTCTTTATGTGTTTTTACTTTTTTAAAGCAAGAATGGGAGTTTTTCTGCCATCTCTTTGCATTTTACTCATACCCTTTAATCATTCAAATAGAAAAGCTTATATTTTGTGAAATTGCGAAAGCAAAGCGTATAATATGGATGAAATATAATTTTTGTTTAAATAATTTCAAATAAGAATTGTTGAATGTTTAAATTATTTCATAAAATTTATTGCATAATTTGCACCCATAATATCTGCATATGTTAAAAAGAAACTAGAGAAACTAGAAAAAGAAACTAGGCGAGGCTCTCCATAAAAATTTTGCCCCAGACGTCCACTAGTGCAAACTGAGCCTTTCACTTCTTTAGTGATTTAATTTGTGTAACTGATAATTGGTAAAAATTGATAATTACGCTGATATTTTTCCTTCCTTTTCTTAATATGCTCATTTCACAAAATAAAATGAATTTCAACACTGCACGTTTTTGGAAACTAATTATAATTTTACGTTTTCCCTTTTAAAATCTTTACATTATACTGAACAATATTTTCATTCTGTTCTATATTATTCAGATTCTTAATGTTTATTCTTCACAATCTTCTGCTACTCATAAACTCAGCTATTTTAAAATTATTTTTTCTCATAGAGATTTTTTATCCTTGTGCTATTAGCAACACTTTAAAAATATGTTTGTTTTACCATAATAAATAACATTATGCTCTTAAAATCTATATTATCTTAATACCGTACCTAGAAAATTGCATTTTCTTCTTAAGCTCAATTTTTTAATTATTTTGTCTCATGTTAATAGCTTTCATAATTCATTCTGTAATAAACCCATTTTAAATTTTAATTGTTGGAATATTCGTAAGATTTTTTGTCTATGTCACTTAATATGACCAGGTAAAATTAAGCTTTAAACTTTAGCATTTAAAGATCACGAATTTTATACCAATGATTAAATTAATGAATCATCCTAAGAATGCATCCTTCAAGGATCCTTTATTAGTGACAATTATATATTGTTGCGTTCTACGGGTTCATGGATTTGGAGTGATTGATGGCAACACTTGATATAGAATCAAAACACAATTTATTCATTAGTATTACAGAAGGCAGTTCCAAAGACTCGTTACGGTCGTCGAAAAACTATGTTAAACACTCTGAAACAATCAGCAACACAGACTCCAGCCTATCAAGCTATAATGGTGAAGACAGCTTAAGTACGTCAAAGCACTTAAGTACAGCTTAAGTACGGCAAAGCACTTAAGTACAGCTCCCGACTGAGTCGATCATTCTCGGAGCTCAAGACACTACTACTGAACTCAACGTACACTTGATACTCTCTCGAGATACACTGACGATACTCTCGACGATGCAGTCGAGATAGACTTGACGATGCACTGCTACTTCGAGTACAAGCAGGGTTTATATAGCTTTTTGACCTGCCTTCGAGAACACTCTGGAGCAAATTGGTAATAATTCGCTCCAGAAGGTTCTCGCTCCATCTACGGCATATTGCCAAGTGTCGCCAAATTGGCGATCTAGCGCCAAATCTGACAACCCTGCCTCTCCTTGCCATTTTCTGGCAACCCTAATCCCGCTTTGTGGGAAAGCTACTTTACCATGGCTGGGCCTTTCGTAACAGTGTACAAGAGCCGGTTACTATCTGGAACTTTTTTAACGCGCATTTCCAAACATGCAATTCATGAATAGTCGCAGAAGGTCAGCTGAGAATTGAAATTCTCGAAATCTAGTTTTTAGAATATTTAAGAGTAGCTTCCACTGAAACATTCGTGAATTGGCTTTCCATCTATTAACTATAGAACCGTATGCATTCTACAGAAGTTGAACTTTTGTGCCATTTTTTTTTTCCTTCTTTAAATAAAATTTACAGTTTTGTACTTAAAGACCACATTTCGAATATGAACACTTGGGTATATATAGTATTCCTTCCGAATGTGGTTTAATATTCATTGGTCACAAACTACGAAAGCCTAAAAACTTTGCTCTAAATGTATGCTAAAGAAATGTCAAAAAAAATCATAATATCCACTTTTTTGCAGCCAAAATTTTTAAAAAAATCTTCCTTTGCGAACTTGATTTTCTGCAGGCATTTCATGTTTAAAAAAATTCTTTCAGACTCGTTAATCCTCAAACTGCCAATCTGAATTTATCTTAAGCTTTTAAATAAATTATTTCATAGTTGTTTTCAGTTTTCATCAATATATAGTGCTACCAGCTGTGTTGCCGTTAGTTGGTGGAACTTTCTCAAATTTTCTAGTTTATTGTTTTTCATTAATATCTTCTGAGACCTGACTTTGTTTTTCGTCATTTTCACACCTGCACTGAAGAAGCAGGTTAAATCGCAGAATAGGCTGCATCAGTCGATGCTGTCTTTACTTCTCTTATGCTTGGACACGCCTTTTTATGACGTAATATTGGTTACGCCTCTTCTTAAAAACAAGTATGCTATAGCTTCGTATTTAAAGAAAACTTAAATTATATTTTAACTGAGTTGAAATGGTAGGTTTATAATGTTCTGCGCGAGATTTTTTTAATTATAAATCTACTTTTGTGTGTTGTGTGGTAGTGTTAGCATTTAACGCAACGAATTATCTCTCACAAATGTATTATTAAGATACCAAACGATTGAAAATGATCGTTACCAAACGATTGAAAATATTGAATGCATGAGTTAAAAATTATAACCGTAACTTCTGAAAATACAGAAGAGAATTCAATGTTTTGATTATTGATGAGTGTGTCAAAATCGGTGCTTACTGCAGAATGGATGAGTATCTGAATCTGGATTTTTTTTATCAGTTGGAGCGAAGAGATGAAAAGAACGTTATTGAGTGGTGTATGGAGAAAAGTTTGATTGCAATGTCGTATAAGTGCCCAATTTGTGGAACAAATATGAAACTAGTAGAGCGAAAAAACTGTATAGACGGTTTTGAGTGGTGCACAATGCCGAGTTTGTGCAACTCTGGGATGTTTTTTTAAGTGAAAATAGATAGATGTGCACATGGGCAAAGCCAATAGGGTGCGCAATGCCGAGGTTGTGCGCGATGCCGAGTTTTTCAATTCTGGGATTTTTTTTAAGTGAAAATAGATCGATGTGCACATGGGGAAAGTCAATGTAGTGCGCAATGCCGAGTTTGAGCAATCCTCTGATTTTTCTTTAAGTGAAAATAGATGGATGAGCCCATGGACACCGAGTTTGTGGAATTCTTTGGTGTTTTTCGAGCGAATACTGATCGTTGTGTAAATGGGAAAACGAGGTTGTGTGTGATGCCGAGCAGTAATGTAACTTTATTTATGTGCAATGTTTAACATATCGTTTGTGTATTTTAAATGTGTATTGTTGTTTTAATTGTGAATTATATTTAAGACATCATTTTTCATTTAAATTGTATTTTTAATTTTTTGGCTTGATATGTTCGTAACGCTTTCCGACTTACGATATATATCGATAGCCCGATGATCTACTCAACAGTAGCAAAATTGTTAACTTTAACTCTTGAAGTAACGTTTACCTCATATTTTAATAGGTAGTGTTTGGTATCGTAATTGCTCTTGATAATATGAGTTCATTGATAATATGTGTGTGTGTGCGCATTTGAAGCATTGCTTAGTGTTCCAAGTTTGTAGTATATATTTTATTATATTATTTTCTTTCATTCTGAGAAATTAGATTTTTTTTTTATTTATTAATGCGTAGAATTCTAGCATGCCTACACAGAATATGGCGTGATTTAGGAATTTTTTAGAAACTGATATGAAAGCTGTTGTAGTGATGTTCATATGCAATAAAAAATATTCTTCTTTTTTTATTAAAGTTAAAATTTTTAGAAATAATGAAAATTGTCTAATTATTGGTATGTAAGGAATTATGTCGTTATGTAGCAAGAAGGTAATTTGTAAAAATGATAAAATTGAAATGTTCTACAATATGAATTTAAATTAATTTTTTTTTTATTTGTATAAATGTTTAATAAAAATCTTTGAAAATATTGAAGCTCTACAAGTATTAGAGACTGTGGCGTTGTTTATCGTTTTAATAATTGGTAGAATTCGCTCACTGTATCATGGTAATTTTAAATATAAACAATTTATTATACTTATTATCAGTAACGCCTAAGCTTAAATGTTATAAATGTAAATTAAAAGTAAAGAATTTGATATTAATTTACAATAATAAACAATTTATTATTGTTATTTTTTAAGAGAAAATAAAAAGTACGCGTAGTGTAAATGCGAGACTACATTGTGTCACAAGCTTAGTCCCACCCATTTATGGACGTCACAAGCTTAGTCCCACCCATTTATGGACGTCACACAGTTCTGCCTACTGAACTTTGTTGATGCAGCCTATTCTGCGCTTTTAGCCCTCTTTCAGTAATGTAATCCACTTCCGCATACGGAGAATATCGCCAGGATGTCTCTGCGTACTTTGGACTGGGCCTGCCTAATCTGCAGACCTTTCTACAATTAAACAAGTCTGAAGCACGTTAAGATGCTTCTTACAGCCATCTCGAAACGAGCATAAAGATGGTGAGCAATTACAGAATTTTTAATAAGAAATTCCATAGGACATCGATCGACTTTTGTTCGACATTACATTAGTATGTCATGGACATATGTTTGCTCAATAAATGGATTGAATGTTATCCGGTTTTAAATGGTTCATCACATTTCTTTTCACATTGCTCATGTTATATGTGAACTCGACAGAACAGTTTATAGCGAAATTTTCTACCAAAGAACATTAGGATTTTTGTCGTCATTCACTTTATATTAATGTAAAATCATTCCTTGAAATATAAATCTTATCAGTTTACTTAATACTCGAATCTTTTTTATGGAATGTTCCCCGATGTACATAAATGACATGTCATGTGACATTTTTTTTTCACTTTTCCTTATATTGGCACACGGAAAATATTTAATTTTCGGTTGTCTTGTATTGTTTCAAGATTCATTTTTAAAATATCAGAATTTCATAAAATATAATACTTAAATAGCATATTTTAATGTATCAAACTTATTTTTTCGGTAAAAGCGCAGAATAGGCTGCATCAACAAAGTTCAGTAGGAGGAGCTGTGTGACGTCTATAAATGGGTGGGACTAAGCTTATGACGTCACAATGTAGTCTCTCATTTACACTATGTGAACTTTCTATTTTCTCTTAAAAATAACAATAATAAATTGTTTATTATTGTAAATTAATATCAGATTCTTTATTTTTAATTTACATTTATAACATTTAAGCTTAGGCGTTACTGATAATAAGTATAATAAATTGTTTACAGTACCATGATACAGTGAGCGAATTCTACCAATTATTAAAACGATAAACAACATCGCAGTCTCTAATACTTGTAGAGCTTCAATATTTTTCAAAGATTTTTATTAAACTAAAATTATTTTTTTTGTTTATTAATTTTTTTAGTCATACCAAATTTGAAAATATTTTTTCAAAACTTTAAATTCATATTGTAGGAACATTTCAATTTTATCATTTCTTACAAATTACCTTCTTGCTACGTAACGACATAATTCCTTACATACCAATAAATTTGACAATTTTCATTATTTCTAAAAATTTTTAAACTTTACATTAACTAAAAAAAGAAGAATATTTTTTATTGCATATAAACATTACATTACACAGCTTTCATATCCAGTTTTCTAAAATTCCTAAATCACGCCATATTCTGTGTAGGCATGCTAGAATTCTACGCATTAATAATAAAAAAAATCTAATTTCTCAGAATGAATGAAAATAATATAATAAAATAAATACTACAAACTTGGAACACTAAGCAATACTTCACATACGCACACATACACATATTATCAATGAACTCAATGAATCAATGAATGAGTTAACAATTTTGCTACTGTTGAGTAGATCGTCGGGCTATCGATACATGTCGTATGTCGGAAAGCGTTATAAACATATCAAAGCCAAAAAATTAAAAATACAATTTAAATGAAAAATGACGTCTTAAATATAATTCACAATTAAAACAACAATACAAATTTAAAATACACTAACGATATGTTAAACATTGTACATACATAAAGTTACATTACTGCTCGGCATTACACACAACCTCGTTTTCTCTGCTACACAACAATCAGTATTCGCTCGAAACATCAAAGAATTCCACAAACTCGGTGTCCATGTGCTCATCCATCTATTTTCACTTAAAAGAAAAATCAGAGAATTGCTCAAACTCGGAATTGCGCACCACATTGACTTTGACCATATGCACATCGATCTATTGTCACTTAAAAAACATCCCAGAATTGCACAAACTCGGCGTCGCGCACAACCTCGGCATTGCGCACCACATTGGCTTGCCCATGTGCACATCGATCTATTTTCACTTCAAAAAACATCCCAGAATTGCACAAACTCGGCATCGCGCACAACCTCGGCATTGCGCACCACATTGGCTTGCCCATGCGCACATCGATCTATTTTCACTTAAAAAATCCCAGAATTGCACAAACTCGGCATTGCGCACCACACTGGCTTTGCCCATGTACACATCGATTTATTTTGACTTCCAAAAACATCCCAGAATTGCACAAACTCGGCATTGCGCACTACATTGGCTTTGCCCATGTACACATCGATCTATTTTCACTTAAAAAATCCCAGAATTGCAAAAACTAGGCATTGCGCACCACATTGGCTTTGCCCATGTACACATCGATCTATTTTCACTTAAAAAAAATCCCAGAATTGCACAAACTCGGCATCGCGCACAGCATTGGCTTTGCCCATGCGTACATTGATCAATTTTCACTTCAAAAAACCTCCCAGAATTGCACAAACTCGGCATTGCGCACCACATTGGCTTGCCCATGTGCACATCGATCTATTTTCACTTCAAAAAACACCCCAGAATTGCACAAACTCGGCATTGCGCACCACATTGGCTTTGCCCATGTACACATCGATCTATTTTCACTTAAAAAAATCCCAGAATTGCACAAACTCGGCATTGCGCACCACACTGGCTTTGCCCATGCGTACATCGATCAATTTTCACTTCAAAAAACCTCCCAGAATTGCACAAATTCGGCATTGCGCACAGCATAGGCTATGCCCATGTGCACATCGATCAATTTTCACTTAAAAAAACATCCCGGAATTGCACAAACTCGGCATCGCGCACAACCTCGGCATTGTGCACCACATTGACTTGCCCATGTGCACATCGATCTATTTTCACTTAAAAAAATCCCAGAGTTGCACAAACTGGGCATCGCGCACATCGTCGGCATTGCGCACCACATTGGCTTTGCCCATGCACACATCGATCTATTTTCACTTAAAAAATCCCAGAATTGCACAAACTCGGCATTGCGCACCACACTGGCTTTGCCCGTGTGCACATCGATCTATTTTCACTTAAAAAAAAAAACACCCCAGAATTGCACAAACTCGGCATCGCGCACTGCATTCGCTTTGCCCATGTGCACATCGATCAATTTTCACTTAAAAAAAATCTCAGAGTTGCACAAACTCGGCATTGCGCACCACTCAAAATCGTCTATACGTCTCAAAACCGTCTCTCTACTAGTTTCATATTTGTTCCACAAATTGGTCACAAATTGAGCACTTATACGATATTGCAATCAAACTTTTCTCCATACATACCCACTCAATAACGCTCTTTTTGCCTCTTTGCTCCAACTGATTAAAAAAATCCAAATTCAGATACTCATCCATTCTGCAGTAAGCACCGATTTTGTCACACTCATCAATAATGAAAACATTCTTTAAGCAAAAGATTTCTTTTCTGTATTTTCAGAAGTTACGGTTATAATTTTTAACTCATGCATTCAATATTTTCAGTCATTTGGTAATGATTGTTTTCAATCGTTTGGTATCTTAATAATACATTTGTCAGGATAATTCGTTTCGTTAAATGCTAACCCTACCACACACCCCACAAAAGTAAATTTATAATTAAAAAAATCTCGCGCAGAACATTATAAACATACCATTTCAACTCAGTTAAAAGTTCATTTAAGTTTTCTTTAAATACGAAGCTATAGCATACTTATAACTTGTTTTTAAGGAGAGGCGTAACCAATATTACGTCATAAAAAGGCGTGTCCAAGCATAAAATAAGTAAACACAGCATCGACTGATGCAGCCTATTCTGCGATTTAGCCATTTTTTCATTCAGTGTTCACTATTCTATGTTCTTCATAATTATAATATTTTATTCATTAAATATTACTACAACAGATTTTTTTGATGTTATTCATTTTAATATATCAAAAATTCGTTGAAGAGTTTACAAAAATACCAATTTTGGAAGAAAACAAATTTCTTAATATTTATAAAAATGATAAATTCATTAATTCAATTAAATTAAAACTAATCATTATTGTGTAATATTACTGCAGCTTATTATTTACACAGGAGAATAAAATAATATTTTTAGAAATCAGAATTACTTACTTGTATTTCCTTTACTAATGATATTCCGCTTTCAGCTTTAACTCTGGGTGAAAACCGTATCAGAATATCGTTATAAGCTCCATCTTTTGCAGTTACTTTTCCATTTGTAACAGAAGATTTCAGCAAAACCAAAATAATACACAATCTAAGGAAACTGCCATTTTGATACACATTCTTCGTTAAAAACATAGTAATTCAAAAGAAATAAAATAAACAATTTTTAAGGAAGCGTATTTTATTTCTTCATTATTTTAAGGCACAATGAATTTCAGACATGAAAAATTCAAGATTTTCTTTAGTTATGTTATCCTTATAAGAGTGTAGCGTAATTTAGAAAGCTACAAAGACAGCTACAATCGATTTCAATAAAATAATTCAACTTAAGTATCACACTTACATTTATCACGTAACTCAATCCATTCAATTAATATTTTCGGTTTGGCATCAAATTTAATTTTTTTTTTCTTTAGCACGTGTAGTAGTAATAAAAATAACATTTTCATAAAATATATTTCTATTAAGATGGGTTCTTTTGTTAAGGTCTGATATAAACACGTACCATATCAAAGACTGTATGATATTAATTTATGAAGTTGAGGTAAATAACAAAATAAACTTAGCATTATGAACAAATACAGAAGCATTTTACATACATATCATAACCGTAAATGTGAATAAAACTCTAAACATCTAAACATTAACTCTTATGTGCTTATGAGACCGGGCGTGAAAAATTTTGGCGTACGCTTTTGGAATCACTTCTGCTTTCAGTAATTTATATTGCTGTTTTATAAACTACTGCCGCTACGTGGCCAGCCTTCATCTGGCTTTTAAATGTACCAAAAAATGCCTAGAGGGAACACCAAACATTAAATTTAAAAACTGCACAAAATTTTATTCTGCAGATTTTTAAAAAAATGTATTATATAGTATAAAAAATTACAATGAAATAAGCAATATCCCTTAACACAAACATTAATTATCCTAATAAATAAATTAACCAACTTCCCGTTGCAAAATCTTAAGAGTTCAAATGGTGTAAAGGAAGTGCAGAACTTCTAAAAAAATTATGCAAAACTTTTTATATAATTAAAAATATATAATTAAAACATAATATAAAAAAATTGCAATGAAATAAGCAATAAATCTCATATTTCCAAGAGAAAACAGTCAGCAATCCGAAACAATGAATGGAAAACAGTTGCCAAGACCAAATTCTAAAAGAATGAAACTATCATCAGAAAGCAATAACCAATCAAAATTGTGCTTTGTGGATGACATAATTAAAAATATACAAACTTCTTTGCCATTAGCTAATAAAGAAAGAGAGAGAGAGAGAAAGGAAAATTCTTTCTGTTGTGTCTCGCGAGACACATGCGCGTCAGAATAAGAAGATAGCGATGTGCGTGTTGTGTGTATAATTAATAATATTTTATCTCATATTTTCAACAGTCAGCAGTCCAGTATACAAAGCCCTGAATGAAAAACTGTTACCAAAACTACATTTCTAAAAGAATGAAACTATTCAAAATGGTGCGATATCATCAGAAAAGATGAAATTAAAAAAATCTGATTTGAATTTTGAAAAATTTGCTTCGATGTGGACTGGCTCTTGTCTAGATGCACCTATGTACCAAATTTCGTAAGGTCTATTAGCTTACGCGCAGCACGAACAAAAGACACACGCACAGACAGACTCTTTCTTTTCTATGTAAAGATTTATGATCTATGCAGTGCATCAAAAGACCGAAGGATTAAAATCTTCTGAATAATTGACCTTTAGAGTTAAAAAAACAAAACGAATAAATTCCAGTTATGAATTGGAAGAATTTTGATGATTTCACAGTTTTCATTTAAAATATGCGAAGCCTAGAAACAAATCTGTAAAAGAAAATTTCGGAGACAGAAACTGTTTCCAATCTTTATTATTCCGGTTAGAAAGGAATTTTTTATAACAAGTAGTGTTGAGCTTTATTTCAAGCAGTGTTCAAACTAAGAAATAAAACAATTAATTTCACACAGCATACACATAGCTTTCTTTCAAAACTAACAATTTATGTAGAGCAAACAAACTTCTAACATCTTATAACATTATCTTTAACATTATATTATCTCATCTTTTAACATTCTGTTCAATATTCTAATTAGAACAGTGGTTCTCAAACCCTTCTTTTGTCCCATGCACCGCTTTCACCATTGCTAAACCTTCATTCCTCCCTCCTTCCTTTCTCAAACTCGAAAAATACATATATATTTATTTAAATTAAGATGATTTTTTAATGTCTTTTATAAATTAAACAACAAAAAGTATAGAAAATGCTGATAAATACCAAAATTTGAACAAAAGTAGTTCCCCACACTCATAAACTAAAATTAATACTTAACAGGTAAATAAAAAGCTAACCTCATTTTCTCCTGAAAATAGGAAATTCCCTCCTAGGAGGCATTCCGCTGGTTGAGAACCCCTGAATTGGAAGATATATATATATTATTATTAAACATTATAAAGTATGATATATTTTTAATATTAATAAAAATTTTATTTAATCTTTGAAGACCAAACTAATGTACGTTTGATATTTTGCCTAAAACAGCCTGAATTCATTAGCAGCGCTAAACTAACAAGAATCAGCGTAATAGTTTCGAAGGTTTAAATGTAGAACCTTCATCTTCAGCTGCAGGAGTCAGCTGAATATTAAGCTTAGCACCTCTAATAATTGTTATCTAGTGTGTTATCTTCACTCAGCCTGAATTTAATGTTTAAAAAAATAATAAAGCTTTTATCTAGTACTGGTGGTTTAAGCATTCTTTTAACTTTAATTCCACTGAAATTTTCAAAATATTCAGTTAATGTACAAGATTTTCTTGAACTTTTTCGTGTTCATGAAAATCTACCAGCTTTAATTAAGGATTTTAAGCTTGTTAGTGCTTGCTGTATCTTTTTAAGAACCTAGTCTTAATTTTTTTTTATTCTTTAATTTATATTTCTCAAAGTAGATGGAGCTATAATATTGCTTCCTTTATTTACATTTTTTATTTCACCCATTCGTCTGTTTCTGACAAAAACTTTATGTTACAGCTTGGCTGTCTTTTCCTTCGTATGCGATTTCAAATAGTGAGAGTAGGTTGGCTGTAATTTATTTAAAATATCTTGTCCCAAAATACTTAAAGAACTGAAAAACTGTTAAACACTTTTGTTTATTTAATTGACTATATATTATTAGAACCGTTGCACAAATTTTATATGCATCTGCATACTGATAAGAAAAAAACAGCAGTAAAAACAAAACTTCTAACAAACTTGTTGTTATTGAAACGAAAAAGAATAAGACAGATACAAGCGGGAGTGTGACTCTGCATAATGAGTCTATCACTATCACAGTGACGCATACCGACGAACGAAGCATACAATGCAAGCGAATTTTTGACCACGTCCTGTCATTTTTCTCCGCCTTCACATGTGTTTCGTTTTTTTTTTTACATACAATCACCAGTTACCCATACTGAAATTTAATATTTGTAGAAACGCTTACTTAGAATGAGTGTTATGGTGCACTTAAAATTATGTATCAATAACAAAACGTTGGATGAAGCTTTTCCCGTGAAATCCTCACCTCTAATGCCATATTTCAAGGTTACTTCCGAAGTTTTTTTGAGAGTTTCCCAGAATCAAAAATTTAGAACAGTTATGAGTTGACATTGGATATGCCCCGGACATTGTATTTTGTACTTGGAAACGGTCAAAAGGAAGCGAGCAGGGCGAACGCATAACGAACTTTTCACAAAAAACCGGAAAGCGTCAAACGAACCGTATATGTGAGTTGGTGGCGAAAAAGAGGATTACATTTTATTAAGTTTCAAATCTACACTATTTGCGAGAGTTGTTTACTACGCCATCTTAGTCTCTTACTTTCAGAACAAAAGATAACGTCGTGTGCAAAGTACAATAGATATCGTCAGTGTGACTCACAAAAGAATTTTACGTGGATAATATATTTCAACGGTATATTTAAAAGAATGACATCTGGAAAAATTACTGAAGTAGATTCGGATTAGAGCTTCTTTCATTACCTTCTTTTATGACCAACAGATGACCTCCTCCCCATTAGCCACACATGTCAGTTTTAATTAGAAACAGCTATCCCCCCCCCCGTTTCGTCGCAGTCGGAGCTTATCGCAGTCGATATGTTAAGTCAACAAAAGGAAGGAAAACTCAGCTTATTGCATCGCACAAAACGCTTAGACTGGTAGCGTAGCCCTTGGATTTGTCAAAAAAAACGATGTTTTGTATGTGTTTTACATTTATCTTTTTGATATATTTTGTGACATGCGCAGAAGTAGTGATAGATTTTGACGGTGGTTACAAAAACGTGCTGGTGGCTGTAAATCCCGAAATTTCAGAAACGAAAATACAACAACTTCTACTTGATCTCGAAGTAAGTATTCCTTATTTGGTTTACATCTTAATACAATTAGCTATTACTAACACCATGAAATAGAAAAATCATTCGTCTAACATTTCTCTACATTCTAGAGATCTTTTTTTTAAATTTCATGGGATATCATTTGCCTGACCATGAATTATGATTGAAGCATTTGTGTATTTAAAATTTTAATATCTATTTTGATTCTATTAACCTTTTTTACGACATTTAATCGAAAAAATTAATTTTTCTTTGTTTATTATATTTCACTGTTCATGTAAAATCCATAAATTTGTGTATTTGTTCAATAATGTTTACTTTTTATATATAATCGAAGTAAACCTGAAATTTTGTAATTCCTAAGCAAAGTAATAATTAATTGTTAAACGTTTAAACATGCTTAATTAACTAAACATAGATAACATACCTACAGCATTTAATAAAATATTCATTGATTTGAAAAAGTTTTCATTAAAGTTTGAATATAATTATTGATTTGCGCATCAAGTAGAAATATTATTGAAAGATTAATTGATAGTTAAATTTAAACTTTTCGTAAAATTTTAAGTATATTTTAACTTTAGGCCATGAATGGGTTCGATGAACTTTGGCCCTGAATTTTTCAACGTATTAAATTATTGATTATTGATTTTTCAATTTACCTAACTTCTTTCTGAAGACACTTTTTTGGGAGGAGGGGAATGAGGCTATTTCATACAATTATGTGGGAAGTAAACTGCAATTCCTTTCATAAATTCAACAGTTTATAGCTAGAAATCTTCTGGGCTTTTGTCCTCATAATGCAAGGTAAAAGATTTCAAAATTTTACGTTAAGTGGTCACGAAAACTCAAAATCATTTGTAAATGCTTATTTAGATTTTGAAAAAACTTCTCTAATTTTTAAAATCTTTTATATTTATTGAAAAAAAATTGAAATTTTTATTTCCGGTAATAAATAATTGGTAAAAGTTTACAATTGGGTGCCCCTTGTTTTTTGGCGATTCTTTTTTGATGCCAAGATCAGCGCCAGGAAAGCACAATTTCATAATGGCCGCTACACAAAACCAAAATAAGAAGTCAAAGACTTGCACAAACTCTGTGTCCATGTACACATCGATCTGTTTTCACTTAAAAAAAATCCTAGAATTGCACAAACTAGGCATAGTGCACTGCCTTAAATTTGTGCATGTAAACATCAATCTATTTTCATTTAAATAAAATCAGGAAGCTAAAACAAAGTTAAAACTATCATGGTAACCAGAAATGAGGTTTCGTCGCCAAAATTTAAAAAAAAAAAAAAATTTTGCTAATCGAAGGGGCACTCAATTCTACACTAGAGCCAAATAATTTTGTCCTGTAGTAAGAATATACCTTTGTGCAAATTTCAAAAGTCGTTCTTGAAATGTTTCAGTGAACTCTTTCAAAAAGTGCGAATGCTGGTTATCTCTGAATTTAGTTTGACTAATTTAATAATTGGCTTCATGTATATCAGCTGAACAGACAAATTTTATTACCAAACAAAGCAATGTAAGTCAAAAGTATTCTTTACAAAACATATTTGTCAAAAGACACAAAATTATGTATAAATGCTTTATTAAAATATAAGATTAAGGAGCATTTTAGTTAATTCTAGTTGAAAAGAAATTCGCATATGCATGGTAGACAAAAAGATGTATATATTTTCAAATACAGTTTAATGGTTTATCAGAATTTTCATAAGAAAATACAACATTTTTTCATGTAGTTGATTTTAAATAACTTCAATTAACTTATAAACAAATTCATTTCAAATTCTGTAAACACAGTTTGAATTAACTTAGTCTATATTAACCTGACACTTACTTCATTAAACAGCGTATGTCGATTATTTAAAATTCTTCTCATGCCATTTATCTAAAGTCCATTTCTAGCAATTATTGAGCCAAAATATGTTGGAAATGCATTTCTGAGACACATGTGACACGATTTCTATTGGCCGAGTGACTCAGGCAGCTGAAAGCGGGATTTAAATCTGGATTCGAATCCAGGCGAAACAGCTGGCTGCGTAATTGGTTTTCGGGATTTTCCTCATGCGCAAAAGGATCACCAGCGATTTCTCTTAGCTAGTTCTCCACAAAGGCATCCCTCTCTTTAAGCAAATAGCCCTCATGTGTTTTACCATTTTGAAATAGCCTAAATTTACACAAAGAAAAATTAAGAAGTAGAATATAAACATCCTGATCATTATTTGCCAGGTAGAGATGTAAAGTTTATTTAAATAATTTTTTTTATTTATGTTACACTCTGTTCTATAATCCTGTTATTTCGTCTACCAAAATGTGTAACTGAGAGGAATTTCGAAGGTAAGTATATAAATTTAAGAGTAAAGATTTTCAGTTTTAGCTTACCACTGTGAAACTTCTATGTTTGTGTCCGAAATTAGCGAATTTTCTACCAGTTGGTGAATCTTCCCTTTGCTTTGAATATTATGCAGTAGTTTGTGAAGTTAGTGGATCCAGATACTATAGCATAACTTGTGAATCGTATATAACTGAATTTTGCTCTGGTGTCTTCTCCGCAAGTAGAAAAAAATAGGTTTGTGTGAATTTCTGTGTACTTCGAGCTGAAGTTAAACAGTAAATTTCAAGATTTTTTTCCCTTCTGTATTCCTTTGACATTTGTATTGTTATTTAAAGCAGACCCCAAAATCCATATGCCATCTAGAAGATCAGAATGATATTTAGAATCCTGCCAAAATGAATTTTAACTTTGCAGAGTGACATATACAATGTTGACTTTGAAGCTGGCTATAAAGATAACATGCATTATGATAATCAGGGATATATGATAAAAACACATACTATTTAATCTACAGTAAATTCTTCATTCATTTCATTCTTTGCGATAACTTGTCACAATTCTTCCACTTGGTGAAAAAATAAAATCAACTTTTTTTTGTTAACTTGTCGTATGAGCAAAGCATAATTTAGATGTTTTTTTACAAATCTACCTTGCAAGTACTGATCTTGAATAAAATTTTACTTCATCCACTTACTTATAGCCTAACTCAAGGGTCGGCAACGTTTTAGTAAGGGCTATATTGTAAAAGATTTAGGCTTGGAAAACCAAGTAGCAAACATGGATATGAATGGGAAATTTTCTCATAAAGCCAAAAAAAGAGATTATTTTTTTAACTATAATACATTTACATAATATTTATGCACATTTTGCTAAGACTTACAAAAAAAAAAGCAAAAGATTTATATTTACATATTGAAAAACGTTATCACTAAATACATTAAAATTTCTAATGCGAACAATGCTTTTGTTTTTTCTGAGATAATATGCCATCAATCCAGGGCTTAATTTCTAAAATAAGAAGTTTCACAGCCCTCTGAAGGACCGTCAAGAAGAAGGGGGAATAAATAAATGAAATAAGTAATAACTCAAATAATTAAATTAAAATTAAATAAAGACATAAATAACAATTTAATAAATTATTAAGTTACTGATAAACGGTTAAATAAAAAAATATATAAAATTAAAGCTTCGTCTTATTTGGGGCTCTGATTGGACTTACAACTTCATACAAAAACTATGAAAAAGTTCAGCCGGCCTCCGGCTGAATTTAGACCCTAAATATACAGTATAGCATACTGTTTCAATGGGGGAAGGAGGGATTATTCTTTTTCCAGCACACCAGTGGAAAAAAGTAAAACTATTAAAACGTTACTAAAAATAGAGAGAATGCTAGAAACAATATGAGAATATGGAAAGAAATTTTAATGGAGAATAGTAGCTTCAAAAATAAACAGAGAAGAGTCCAACGCTTTCTGACCGCGATGCCCTGCCAATATAATTCTAGCTGAAAAGCAGGATACGACTGGGCAAAAAAAACTTTTCCCCCGAATCCGATCTGATGACAACATGAGAGCAAACTAAGGTCTTCATAAGTGACAATATTTGTTACCCTTATCTTTTAATAGTTCAAGTTTGCAGGAGCTCTGCTGTAAGAGATCACTAGCACTGGAGTTGCAAGACCAAGGTAATCACCGTTAATACTTTCGGGAACAAAACATTTTATCCGCTTTCTTAAATTCATTGCACTACCTGGAGAATAAGCCTTTGACATGCAGATGGGGCTTTTCTTTCCTTAAGAGTCTTAACTTCCGTCAAAGTTTTGTTGCCCAGAGAAAGATAGGTATGAATTTGGAAATTATAATAAATTTTAAGTCATAAATGAAGTAGATAAATGACCGCTAGTTTCGGCCTTTCTGGACAACACTTTAACTGGCAGAATGTCCGTCCTTTGACTTTCTGCTTTTCCCGCATTTGTTTGTTTTTTCCACTTTCTTTATCAGCAATTAATTTTTTTCTGATATTTATTTTTAACATATCCTTTTTGAAACTGCTCGAATTTTGACCAGTCCAGGCTAATATAATTTTGTATGATTTGTTTGAAAAGTAGCATTTTTAACGTTGTTGACAATTTGTTTCGTGTTCTAAAATTTAACTGCTGCAAAATCTGGACCAAAAAATACATTTTTTAACTCCATCACTTTATCTGCAACTGTTATTCATCTTTATTAATTTAGACGTCCGTAATAATTTGCTCTAAGAATTGGTAATTTCTCTTGCTCTTAATACTTAATTTCAAGCAATCAAGACTTTAATTTTATTCTTTTAATTTCTTAACTAAGATTTTATTAGACACCAGTTTATTTTCCTAACTCTATCAGGATAATTTCCTTTTCAAATGCGATGGAAGGTTATGCAATTAGAAAAAAGACACAGAATTGAAAGAAGAAGGGAATAAAACTAAAAAATTATTTATTTCATATTACAATGTGTCACCCTTTTGAGAAATGTTGATATTAAAAATCCATTGCTACAAGCTCTAGCATGTGAATAATTTCAACTGCTAATAGAATTCTTTTATAATGTATAGTCGAGTGCGACTGTAATGAACTTCAAAAGACCAGAAGTATTTTCGCTATATGCGATCCGATAAGAAAAATGGATTATCCCACAAAAACGTTTAAAAAATGAATGATGAGTAATAATAATGAAAAAAAAAACTTATTGATAGTGTCATATCTACCATAGACGTGAATAATAAATCTAGTTTAAAAAATCATATTAAAATTTAATTGCAATGATTATTACGTTCAGTCATTAAATTTGTTGATTTTCTTTTCGACTATATTTTAATAATTTTACACGATAACTTACTTCATTCATAACTGTGAATAAAACAATATAAAAATACTAAACTGAATAACAAAAACTATTGACGAATTTATTTTTAACTTTTCCTTAGTTTCATAGGGGAAAAATAGCATGTCATTTTCTTCTCTGGTGATGCAGATTGCATGAAAATTTTATGGAAAGCATGAAAATTTTATGGATATATTTTATGGATTGCATGAAAATTTTATGGATTGCATGAAAATTTCATGGAAAGCTAAGAGTCAATAACCTATGTAAAGTACTATATTCTATATCGTGTAAAAGAGCTAAATAATGCAATACCCTTATTCGAAAGATATAACTTGAAGAGCATTTATACTCAGACAAAAGAAACCGATCAGCATCTAAATTTCATTTTGTAAAAGACGAATCGATTGCATAGCCTAGCTCATCAGATTTACTCCTTCTTTCCCTGAATAGAAAAAATCGCAAAATTTCCATCATAGCATCAGCCTGGAGTAGAGCTCTATCTAATAGTTCAGCAAAGAATTTAAACGGAATCAGAGAACCCACTGAAGCTCTTTGGATCAGTGCTCAATACTCGTTTCCTAAGTCATGCATATTTGCTCTCTCCTAGACTTGGTTTCACACTTGTCCTGTAAAGTCTTTTTTAGAACACAGAGAAAATTGGAGATGAAGATAAAAGAAAAGTAACGTAAAGGATGGAATTGTTGATCCTAACACCCTAACGTGAATCGCTTTAAAATTTAGCAAATTTTTTATTCATTATATCCGATTTTCATACTTTTTAATGTCCGCTATAGCGGCATAAAATAACGTTAAATATACAGGAAGTTGGCCGAGACCAAGCGGTTCCTTCGTTATCTCCTGAGGCTGATTAGCGGGATTCAACTGAATCTACCTAATCAATCAGATAACTGGAAATCTCTAGTTTTATCCACAAAAGTTCTATAATTTCAAGGTTTAGCGGATCAGTCATTAGTCTGTGGTCAGTCAGCAGCGCATAGCAGGCGACAGACGCTTAATTAGTGCAGGAAACAATCTTAATTAAAAACAAATGCAGTTAAGAAATCACATCTGTGTTTAAAGTCACTCTCATGTCGCTGACATTTTTACATAACTTCTGATTTGAGCAAAATATTTTGATAAAGGGCAAAAACAGTAAAAATTTTAATTTAAGTGTTATGAAAATTAATCGAATTGGCATAGCTGCCGGAATGTTTTGACTGAGTGCAACGCAATTAAAGAAGCCTTCAAAATGTAAATAAAAAAATTAATCTTAGCTTAATGATAAAAGACCCGTTTACAAACGTTTTTCTTCTAAAAAAAAGTTGCGTTTTCTAATAAGAAAATCCTTAGTCCGTTAAAATATTTCACTAAATTTAAGTTCATTTTTTAATTATTATCATTAATTCGTACATTTATGTATTACGGTACCGCCTTGCATATTAAGTATGTATTAAGAGCTTGGTCTAGCATGTGAATTTCATCATACTATTACCGATTTTGTTATGTATGTAAACCATCGCAGAGAAATTTTATGCAAATTGTAGTATCTCTTGTACAATGCAACACGTAAGGTCTCAGAAAGCGAAGATCCCCCTGAAAAATAAGGTTACAAATGTAAGTCCGTTTAACATTGAGGTTGTCCTTATACGGCTACGTTAAGGTAGCGATTATTTTGACCAAGTGTCACTAAACTTGGCTACAATTTAGCGACATTTTGGTCCGATACTTATGTAAGTGTAATTATATATGCCTTTCAGCCGTTTCGAGAAATCGAAGTTAACGGAATTTCTCGGCAACTTAACTCGACGGGGGAAAACTATGTAACACCGGAGAGAGCATCAATTTTTCACTTTCGCTCAGAGTATGAAGAGATCACCGTGTGAGCTTACGAATTTGGAGACCCTTTGTAGTGTCTTATGTTCAGCTTGTTTAGTAGTTTGAAGAGGTAATCACTTACTGTGCTGTCATATAGAGGACAGTTGTACGAGTACTTTTGTGTGCGTTTTTGGAAAAATTAATTTCATCAAGCTTTCATTGTTTGTGGTGCATTCATTCCATTACGAACCCGTATGCACGTAACAATACATTAATCTCGGGAATAAATGTAAACAAAGACCACGAATAAACGTGCGGCAATAACATATTTCTTAATATTATATTTTCACGGAAGAACTACAAGCCATCTTTGACCAAAAAAGTCTGGAAACTCTTTGAGGATAATACCACAGCAGTCCTAATGAATACAAAGCATGATCTTTTTTTTAGTGAAATTTTACGCTTTGCGACGCTGTCGACGGTATAACCGGGCGCAGACCAACCCCCTTTTCGGCCTGTACTGTTGAAGTAAATTCACTTTTCATCACAAGTGACGATCCGGATCAAAACTGTGTCCATGCGCTAATATTCGAGCCGATTAGTGCAGGTCCGAACACGTCTGTCCTTATCTGTTTAAGTCAGCTCATACGGCATCCAGCCATTGAACTTGTACGTCAAGTTTCTGCGATGCATAATGCGACTAATGGACATGGCACTAACATCTAACGCTTTAGCAAGCTCTCCGAGTGGTTATATGCTGATCTTCTTCCACAAGTTCTCGCAGGCGGGTCTAATCTGGTAGCGTCATTGCTCCATTTCAGACACCTTGTCCTTAAGGATAGCGATATTTTTTTACAAAGTTCACAACACAGAGTTCTAAAGCAAGTCTCTTTCTTTCAAATGCCAAAAATCGTTTGACCAAATATGATTAAACACGCCAACGCAAACTGTTTGCGCACACGATATTTCCGGTAGCGGAAAACTTTCCTACAGTTTCCTACAGAAAGCGTATACTTCCCTACAGGTCACATAGAATTTAAGAATCAATAATACCAAGTTGTTGTTTACAAAAACGTCGATAAGCTCCTTGATAACTTTGCTTCTGAACATCGATTGTTCCAGCTGGGTTCAAATTCTTTTCGTTGACTTGGCTGCTGGAGTATTTTCGTGGTTTTCTTCATGTGTAATACAAATATGTGCAAGTTTCCTTTAGAAACTCCTCCCTTTGAACCTACGCATAACTTCCCTCACGCAGATAACCCTCATATGTTTTGCCTAAATCAATTCACTTAACCTAATTTCTGTTGTAGCAAAGCAGAGAATCTGACATTCCATTTGACTAGCAGGGAAACACGCCATGTTAAATATAATACTAAGCAATAACCGTAACTGACATAAATTTTAAATAAGATTCTATCAATTTCGAGCGTGATTAAATCTTTAATCTTCTTAGAAAATATTCATTATTATAACTTATAAGGTATTTCTCCAGCCTTCTTAGCATGCCCTCATGGTGTAATGGTCAGCATGCTCAGCGCATATTCGAGAGATCCATGGTTCAAGTCCCGGCGAGGGCATTGCTCATTTTTCACGTTTTCTGCTTCCAAAAATTCCTAATGTCTCTACAAACTGATTTTTGGTGTTTAATTAATATTAAGCTGTTAAATTCCTTTTTTTTTTTCTAATATTTTAGAGAACATTCAAAGAAGCTTCCGATATTCTTCAGTCAGCAACTCGTGGACAGGTGTTCTTTAAAGAAGTAATTTTCCTCATTCCGAAAAGGTATTCTTCAATTTCACCTAGCCGGAAATGGATAAAGTACAACCAAGAATCAAAACATCCAGATATATTCATTACTAATAATGATCTTTTTGACAATCCATATACAATTCAACATGCCGGATGCGGAAAGCAAGGTCTTCGAATACATATTCCTAGTAAATTTTTAACCAGCGCCAAAAGCAGTAAAGGTATGTTTCTTAAATATTAATTTACATTCTCTTGTTTATGATTATTTAATATGGTAAGATACACGTTTTAAATTTTAAGAAACCAAAAAAATTATTAAATTACTATTTTTATGTTCCTACTGTGCAAATTTTGTTCCAGTTTCTTTCTTTTATTTCTCTTTTGAACTTAGTATTGTCCAAAATAGGAAAATATAGACAATATGCTAACTTCATCGCTGCATGAATACGGACTTCGCCGACATGCATTTCATCTATGGGGCTGCGGCTGAAATGAGCAAGCAGCTGACCCCCCCCCCCCCCCCCCCCCGCCAAAAAAAAAAAGAGAGCCTCCTTTGAGATTACTTTCTTTGAGCTATTATTGCTCTATTTCTGTTCGAAGCTTCACACACATTAATATATATATATATATATATATATATCGGCGAGCTACGTTTTCGTGTAACTATGTATCAAAATCCGCACGGAGAAACGGAGAATGACGATTTATGTCTGATTTTTTTTCTACCGCTTAGCACCGTTTTATATCTCCTCTATCCGCCATTTACACATACATATTCTATTACAAATCTGCTTTTATCTGTGTCTTCTAAATATTTTTACATTTTTGCCAGAAATTTTTGAATCACTATATGTGTGAATCTTTTTGTGGAAAATTGTTTGCGGTGTGTTGTTCTAGAGCGTAAAATACCAAAATCTTTTCATTATTTTCACAACTAAAAATTCTTTAACTTCATTTTGAGACTGTTAATTTTTTTCATATAGTCACATTTCTGTCTGTTGTTTTTCTGATTTCTAAATTATTGCAGTCGACTTTTGATAAGCTCAAATTTAAGGACAAGGAGAAAACCTTAATCGAAAATACAAGGTTTCAGTGGATCCACACACGCTGGCAGTTCAACGAAGAACAGGGACAAAGGTTCTGGAGCTGAGTGTGCACAGCAATTTTTTTTTCTAACATCTAGGTGTTAACACCGCGGTTAACTGGAAGCAAATCATTTTTTTTTTCCAACGCAATCATCCTTTTGGATTCTAGATCTGTCATTTCGTTTCTTAACAATAGCAGAACTTGCGACTCGAAACATAATTATGAGGGCCGATATCTCTGAAATACTCTTCAGTGTGTACCAACGCATTATGGAGTACCAGAGAAATGAAAGTGAAGATAATGATAAATGTAGAATTTAGTAAGATCCATTATCCAGATTTGTGCATAGAAACTACGGGAAAGTCTTGGCATTATCTTCTGGACAAAAGCGTATAATATCCCTTCTCTTCGTGCTACAGCTATGGTGCTACAGCCGTCTTTTGATCTTTTGATTTGACGCGATTGCCTCAGTGCTTATTGCTTTTACATTAGACTCGGAAATTCTCCAGTGTGTTCCTTTTGTGACTCTGGATAACCTATTGCCAGAGAACATTTTAAACGTGCTCTGTATTAAACAGTTTTAATTCTGGCACCTGGATGTGCTGAGAAGAGAGATGACTATAAAGGCTAAGTGCCAAAAGCCAGGCATTTGTAAATAAATACGTAATAAAATAGTTATTTTCGTTAATGCTTCGTTTTTTGGTTTACCCTCGAATTGTTAATGCAAATCGTTGATCGCGATATGGTTAGTGTAAATCCCAGACTTCGAAAACTTCGCAAACGTTTTATTGCTCACCCAGCAAATTTTGTTTTTTATTCTTACGACGAAATTCAAGCTTTATAATTAATTAGCAGAACTTTGTACTAAGAGAATGGCGTAAGAACCTTTTTTGAGGGGAGGAGGACTTTCTTCTCTTTGATAAATGCTTCTATTTTATTGAAATTTTTTTGTGTTAATTTCGATTTTATTACCATTCTGAGTGTCGGCTGTGCAAGCTGCAGTAGTCATTATTGAGCTGTGAAGTTGTTTAATTTTATAATTCTACGAGGAAATCTGCATTCTCATTTCTTTCTACTCCACAATGAGCCGGCACACACTATAATGCTGCAGAGGTCGCAAGAGATTTTTTTTAAATTTTTTTATTTATTTATTTTTTTAGCCAGGTAAAGGCCACCGGTATTCCACTCGAATTCCAGAAAATGTTTAATGCTGTTAACTCGCCATTAGCTAAAGAAAAATACTATTAAATATTAAAAGTTTATTGCCTTCTTGCATAAAAATTAAATTATGAAATATCTGTTAATTATTAAGAATATGTTCCCATTTTTTGTTTCAGCTAAAGCTCTGGTTCGTGAATGGGCTCATTATAGGTACGGAGTATTCGATGAAAATGGCTATCCAGGCGACGAACTCTTTCCTTCTTGTTACAAGATACCGGGATCAGATATCACCCATGTCACCAGCTGTACGAATGAGAAAGCTATTTACGAGTTCAGGTACAACAGAAATCAGTACGAAAACATTCTATTTTTCGAAAGCTTAATGGAAATATTTTCATTACTAAGTTTGTGTCTCTACTCAGAATCGAAACGGGAATTTTGTAGATTACATGTAAGCCTCAGCGCTTAATAGATTGAAATATGGCTGAACTAAAAAGTAGAAAAAATAATCTGAAAATTCAAAAGTGAATACATAATATAAAATATAAATTAATAACTATTAATAGTGTTTTGAAATAAAACGAGATTCAAATTCTTATCATCTGAAATCTTTATATGAAAATGGAATTAAAATCCATTTTTTTTTATCTGTCTCTTCCGGAAGAGATTTACTGAGTTAAAGCTGAATTTATCTTGCAGATTGTAATAATATAAAAAGTATTTAAAAACAATTATTTTACCAAAAGAAATAAATAAGAATATTTGTAAAGTAAAAATTTAGAGGGTTAATTTAAACAAAATATAAAATTTGTTTCAGAAAATAATATTACCTCTACATAGATAGGATTCGATTATTCAGTAATGACCAAGTACATTGCAGTATGCAAATTCATAATGAAATTGTTATTTTATTATTTAATACCAGTTCTCTATAAATGAGTTAAGTTTCACAAAACCTTATCGTTAATTAACTAATTAATTAAGTTAATGAACGGAATTAGTTGAAAAAATTGAAATGAAATTAACTAACATTTATTGAAAAAAATATACACAAAGGCATCTTGTAACAGCATTAAGCTGTCAAACGAATATATGTAACCTTAGCCTTGCAAAACAGCTGATATTTTAATTAATTTTGGTATTGGACTAGCTCGTGTCAAGGACATGGGACTTCAAGATATAAACTTCTAAGCGTATATGAGAGAATACGTTAACTGCTATTCAAGCTATTCAGCGTGTGATTTTTGACTGCTGGCGACATTAACGGACGAGTAAATGAACAACGCCGATCACTAAAATAGCTTAAAAGTGTTATTTTGAGAGAAATACTTATTATTCAAACCTCAGGAGCAAGAAATCCAATGAAATAAATGCATAGCTACGGCTTGATTAATTATTTTCTTTATTAAATAAGTCTTCACGTTGCGTCAGTTAAAGATGGATTTAATAATGTAGCAATTTTTTCAACAATGATTTCGCATTTTGTTTTCAACAAGTTATTTTAAATATATAATTTTCTGTTCTGTAGATCTCCTCGAAAATGCACCTGAAAACTGTATGTGCTTATTGTAACTGCTTGGCTTAAAACTGTTTCACGTGTTAAACTGAAATACGCTTATGAGGATCAGATTGCAATTTCTTTCTAATCTTATAATTTTTTCATTTCTCATTATCTTTCTTTTAACTTTTTGAATTTCTAATGTAAACATTTCGAGGTGTAAGATCATAATCTAGACTGCAGTATTTCATTTTCGTTTTTAATGCAAATTTATTGAAGCTGATGTGATTACTTCAAAACATGAATAATCTAGGAAAATGATAGATACCCTAATGAGATAGCTATACCACGTTATGAGAAATAAAGGAAACGAATAAATACCATGATAAGTCCATTCAGTTTTCAAAAATTTTACTTTGCTTCTCTGTTATTTTAGGATTTGAAAGTATTTCTAGATTTCTAGGCAAATAAATATGAGAGTTGGAAAATTTCTTTAAAAAATATAACGTCTAGATTTACTAATAATCACACACAAACTTACGAAACAAAGATGAATTTTATGACGAAAATAAGCACGAAAAAGTAGACGATGAACATGCTTTCCCAAGACATACAGTACCATGGTGGAGATTTAAAAAACTGAAATACTTATTAACAAACGCATTTTAAGAGAGTCTATTCCAACTTTCGCCTCATATGACCAACTGAAATTTTCATTATTTTTGCTTTTTAATAGGATTTTCTCCATTACAAAACTTCTTCATTTTTATTATTACTTATTTTTCCCCCTAGGATAAACTCTGAAGTAAAAGAGGATAACATTTCTGCTACTTGTAATCCGATTCCTGTACGTGGAAGAAATGATCGCATTCAGTCATCCCTAATGGATAAAGTGGAATTCCCTAAGGTATTTGCAATAAATGAAATAAGTGTATTTGTACAGATTATCATTAGAGTTAACTAGCCCATTGTCTTGCCTTCCTCTGAAGCTTATTTAAATAAATTGATTGTAACATTTTTAATACATTTAAATAAGCTGCTTAGATTTAAAAAATGTCATGTTCAGCTTTAATGCATTTTCTCCCTCCTTTTCGCGTGCCTTCGCTGTGTAACTGGAAGCACGTCCGACGCGTACACGGGAGGTCAGGAGCTCGAATTCCGGCGACGGCATTGCGGATTTCTTCAGTTTCCTGATATTGAAAAATTCTAATGACTACACAGCATCTGCATGTAAATCGTCACAAGAACAGTTACAGTTTTTTTACATTCAAACATCTGTAGTACATCAGAAAATGACAGTGGATAGTGTACATTTGATGACAGAACTTATTACCACTGCATCATTGAATATCTACTTTTGGATTAAACAAAACATTTTATACTCCTCTTTCTTCATTGCCCCCTCTATTTTGGCAGTGAAATAAAACTTTTCGTTTAATGTATCATTAAATGCATTATATGTGGAGGGGGTACGTTAATATCACTCATACCTTTTCCTGGTTGCTATCATAATTAGAATAAATATCATTTCACATGTCAACTCATTTCGATATCCCCTCCCCACACAAAAATGTATTTTACAAATATATTTAAGATCTACTGAATCAAATCTATTTTTTGCAATATTTGGGGGCCTGTTCTTTTTTAATCCATAATTTTACAAAGATTTTGTATTCAAAACATAAGCCATCATGTCAACGTCTTAAGAGTTTTTTAAGGTGAGTTGTATGTGAGATTTTTCGATGACGCGGCTGTACTAGTTTTTGCCCTCGAACATAAGCACGCCTTCATCCTAGTTCCCCCATTTTTCAGATTGCTAAAGTACCATCCATAAGGGAAGAAGACTACACAGTAAACATTCCCTGACTAAAAAGTTTGGATTATATATTGGATAAGGCATAAGCTCAAATCTATCAAATTTATGAAGGTCTTTGCGATCGGGCTACCAAAAAGACATTTATTGTTATCGTGCTGTAGAAGATTTCGCTTTCTGTTCATTAGTGCTAGGGATTTCTGTTTACAAAACTGTATTCGTCTGCGCTAGTTGTTCAAACTAAAAGTTGGCTTAAAAAGGAATGTTTGCAATAAAATCGTAGATGGTTATACATTTGAAGTTCCATATGACACTGTGACAACACGTGTCTGTGATTAGTGAACTTTCTATTCTCTTTGGAACGAACCCCAGTATACACTTAAGCTCTGATGTGGGGCCGCTGAAAGTGATCAAGAAAGATTCCTTAAGGACACCTTTTGCAGTATCTGTTTCTCATTTTACAAGACTAATAAAATAAGGCTTTTGTGTGAGGAATACTGCAAAAGAAAAACGCGCTCAGGCGTCGGGAAAGCTATGAAACTGGTTAAGTTTTTAAAGATAACATAAGTTATTTCCATTCTGGAAGTTCGGCGACGTTACACCTTAACTTTATTGGTGGCAGCGGGGAGATATGAATTCCACGGAGGCATTTTTAGTAGTCGTGAAACGTTTAGTTTGGTCATAAGAGTATATTAGTATTATGTAAAGTATATTAGTATTATCATAAATCCTCAATTTGACCAGTTATAACTAATTGCATCATGGGCATGTAATAGTGCAAATTGTCTTGAGTTTATGTTTTAAATCAGTCGACTTTGTTGCAAAAAAATTAAGGGTAAATTTGACTCCTAATAGCTGAAATTGCTATTTATTTTTTAAAAATAGGAATCGTTAGATTTTGATTGTACTGATATCATGGCGTTCTTAGCAAAAGTTAGAAAAGAGGATCTTAAAACTTTGTATGGAGAGTTAGGGGAAAATTCGGACCTGAGTTTAGGATAATGGAGCTAAGACAGCGGATTATGATAATAAATCCTACGAGGAGGAACTTGGAAAAAATCTCTTGGACAATTCACTTCAATGAGGCTTGAGAGGGAAGAAGAGGGACAGAATAGAATTAAAAGAGAAGCGGAAGAGAGACAACATAGAATTAGGAGAGAAAGAGAAGGCAGCCAGGATAGAACTAGAAGAGAAGAAGATGAGAAGCAAGATAAAATTAGGAGAGTAGAAAGATAATTCGAACTGAAATTGCAGATGGCAGTCGTTCGAAAAGATCTGGACACCGGACGCTATTTACTAGGGAACCAGATTGCTAAAAAATTAGCAGAAAATCAAAATGATAGAGTCTTTTGTCAAGAACCGATGTACCGGGTTCGATGTCAAAGAAACCGCAAAACTGTCAATACCGAAATTGAAAACCCTCAAAGTTGTCCTTCAGAAAATAATTAAGTAAAAGAAACGGAATGTTATTTAAATACCAGGAAGACCTGGAAAATGATCGGAAACTATGGGTCAGGAAAGCAGTTCAGAAAATGAATATAGATACGTGTAAACTTTTAATGCACACACCTAGTGAAAAAAAAAAGGTACTAAGATCGGACTTTGTTTAGCATCCCAGTACCCGGCTGCTGTTCCGGTAACAGATACAACTTCTATTATTGTGGTGGATACACTTAAATTTTTCCACCAGAATAGGATTTCCTAAAGGAATTTGGTGCACTCAAGGATTTTAGTTATGTCAGTTTTGGCCTCTTATAAGCAAGTCAAATTCTCGGTCCATTCGACAGGGACTGGGAAACTCGGAAGTGGGTTGTCTGAAAAAAATTGTATTGTAAATTTAACAGAGAATTAAAGAAGATGCACAGATGGTCATCTCATTATGTTAAAGCCTAAAGGGAATAATTACGTTTATTTCATAGATAATGTTAATGAAATTGTCTTCTTATGTTGATGACAATTCATATATTTATGATTATTTTGATGTCATTAAGTTTCAGTAATTCAGGATAAGTTTCGGGTCTCCTCAAAGATATTTCTAAAAACTGATAAATAAATATCGCAAGGATTAGATAAATGTATAAGTCAATACAAGGTTTTAAAAATTTATATTATTGCATAACACTTGCTTGCAGAAGAAAACTGTATACTTTATATGTGTAATCAATAGTAATTGTACTGTAATTTTTTTTTTTTTTTTTTTTTTTTTTTTTTTTGTACACTAGCCTCAAAGTTTCATTTTTAATCTTTGGTATTTAATCCAGAGTAGTGTAAATATTTGTGTTTCAGATTTTTTTATTGAGTTTATGCGTCTCTAACAGTGATAATTAAGCAAAGATATGTTGAACTTCTACGACAGTCTTCCCTGTGAGGGAAGAAGTTGTGACAGCATGTGTGTGTCATTATTGAACGTCGTATTCTTTTGAAAACGAACCCCTGTATCCACTTAAGCCCTGATATGTGAATGATTAAAGTCCCAGTTACATCATGTTTCGGCTACGCGGGACTTGACGTCGAAACGGACAATTCTCAGTACCCACACAATTCCAGGAAATCCACGTAGCTAGGTTACCGTTTCCACTTACTACAAAGACTTGAACGCCAAACACTAATCGATTATCGCTCAGATTGGGATCATGTGAGGCTTCAGAAGCAGAACTTTCGTCTGATTGGTTGTCTCTACCCGGGACTAAGATCGAGCCGAGACATTTTCGGCGAGGTTTGAAAAAAATCCCGCGTAGCCGCAACATTGCTAGGCGGGACTTCGCTTCAGGCGGGGCTCATTTTCTAGGAATCCTCCCGTTTAAACCAGTGCTACCAGAATCTCGTTTCTCAGAAAAGTTCCGTCTAGCAGGAACTGCAGCCATGTGTGATAACCTCTTAAGAAAGACCTTGTTAACGACGCCCCTCTTTGGCGGTATATCCGTTTCTTATTTTGTAAGAGTTAAAAAACGAGTCATTTGTCTGCGAAATGCCAACACAGGAAGACGTGCCCGGGCATCGGAAAAACTGTTGTCCTTTTCCCCTTCTCTAATAATGCTAGAATGTTATTTTGTATACTATAGAAATGATCCTATGAAGTACGATCTTATTCCAACTCTGTGATTACCCAAAAATGAAAATGTTAAGTTTTTAAATAAATCTAAAAAGAAAACCTGTCTTAGTTATTTCCATACCAGAAGTTCGGCGATGTTATAATGTAAATCATCATCTTGCTTTTGAAGCATCCTGGTTTGGCAACAGGTTCAGAAAGCTGCCCCAAGATTAACCGCTACCACTGCGTTTGCACATTATGCTTTGAAGAACGGATAGCTTTGAAGTAACTCACTTACTTATGATTAGCAGGTACAATAGCATTATTAGCAATTATCGCCTTTAAGGTATTTTCAAAAATATGTTTAAGACACAAACTTAAAAATAAATACCCTTAAAATACATAAATATCGTTTGAGACATTCCAACATAAAGTTTTATGAACGGCTTCGAATTAATTTATAATTTATTATAATCTAATTCATTAGCCGCCCAGACGGTGTAGTAGTTTGCGGAGCCTACTGCGGCACCGAAGGGCCCGGGTTCGAATTTCTGAGAAGGCATGGATGTTTGTAAATGTATAGTGTCTTTGCGGTATGGGAATACCCTAAATATTTAACGAGCCGAAAGTCCTTTCGTGGGGCTCGGTGATAGGGGAGTGGGGTGCGACCCATCCCCGAGGTGCTCTCCTTCAAAATTGGAGTGGAAATACAAGTCCAAACTCCTTGAGATTCCAGCAACTGCTTTTCCGTGAAATTCATGGACAAGAAAAATACAGCATCTAGTTCATTGAGCTTAGATGACTGGGCTTATATTTTTCAGGTAAAAGCATAGAGAGAAAAGACTCATTGATTAAAATTTTATACATATGTGTGCAGTTACCAGCTTAACACATCGCACTTACCATTTAAAAGTATTATTATAACAAAGCCTGTTTAAAATCACTTTGTCTATAAACTAATTATAATATTGCTGATATTTATTATAGCAACCTTTCCATTACAACGACAGGTACAAAAGTCTCCATCGGTGAGAATCTATTAAACTCTTTCCGTTCTAAGGGCCATTTGTTATGACGTCATTTTTCTTTAAGACACAAGGAATCGTTATAACAAACGACAAATAAAGTTCATTTCTCCTTTCAAGTAATGGTTACATCGCCATAAATAAAAGCACAATTTATAAACGGATCATAAAATTTTCTAAAAATGCGAAACATCGATTTCTTAATGGACCAGGATTGTACAGTGCAAAGTCAAATTAGCGAGTAAACCTGCTGCTTTTAACTTCGTAATCTCTTGTTAATAATTAGAAAATTTCTTTAAAATTCTTACTCACTTTGTAAGTGAGTAAAAAATTAAAATTCGTAATAAATAATTTTGCGCATAAATTTTGTACAAAGTTCTCTAAATTACAAATTTTGTCTGTTTCATTGCATTGTAAATTAAAAATTTCTCTCTACTATTTAATTAAACTTAGTTTTGATTTTTAAAATCTATTTTATTTGTTATAGGCGACTCATTTTTGCGACGATGAAGGTTACCCTCACAATAGAAATGCCCTATCAAAGCATAATGCATTTTGCAAGGAACAAAGTACATGGAAAGTTATTTCCCAGCATGATGACTTCCGATCTAAAAGGTAAATTTTCATGTTCTACTAGTATATCTTTATGAAAGCTCATTATTTATATCCCGAAATAAGTGAACTTTCTATGTTCATACTGCACACGCTTTTTACCAGCTTTAATGAAATTTTTCGACCATTAAATTGAATTTCGAATACCTATCCTAGAATGTAATCGTAAAAATTTGAAGCTAATTCAGAAAAGAAAAAAAAAATTCTTCATATGATCAAAAGCATAAAAGGATATTCTATTTATATTCATTTGTAAGTCCACCATAAAGTGAGTGGATAAAACCTTTTGCACATTTATATATCCACTCGAGTTTGAACCCTGGCGAACGTGGTATTGTCTGGATATTTTCTTGATTTTTTCCACGTGCAGCATAAATACGAGGCACTTTCCCTTTGAAGAGGGCTTCTATGAAGGCAATTCTCTCTTATCGAGTGCCCTTGTAATCAATTTCATTAACTTCTATAGCAATACAGTAGACTGAATTTATTAGTTTCATCAAAAAAATAAGATTTCTAATCAAATAAAGTATACCAGATTGCGATAATTTTAGCCAACTAATACTTTTTAACACTTACATTTTCTAAAGGAATGAGTACTTGAGGCTGCTTCCTTGTGTAATGTGAAAACGAATTCCTTCCGCTTAGAAAGTTCTTCTCGAAGACATCTCTTTAGGAATAGAGCCCTCGCATACTTTGTGTTAAACAGTCAAACGTAATTGTTTTTAAAATTTAAGCTTTTACGTGGATTTATTAATATTAGTTTCATTTGGTATGCCGCTCCATATTCTATCAGGATTTTTAGAGGAGTTCAAGGCAAACCGTTTCTCTAACGTACAAAATAGGCTCTCGTTTAAAAGAAAATCAAAATGAGTTAAACCACTTTGGATTGACAATAAGAATGACGAAATCTTGAGTCATGTAAATATTAGATATTAAATCTCATGAAACCAAATACATAAAATTTCATGGGACTAAATTCATAATATTTAGATTACTGAAAACCGTTGGATAAAATTTGTCAAGAATCCTTCGCGAGTTTTTTCAAGAGACTGCCGGTCTAAATATCTTATCAACATTTGGCTGTAAATCTATCGATGCAGTTTAAGAAATTAATCAAATAGGATAGATTTTTCGTACTAGTACAATTTTGATCAAAAACATCTTTCAGTAAATATATGTAAAAGTAATAAAATTTAAATATGTCCCTATAAATAAAAAAAGTGAGTAAGAAAATTGGTTTTCAAACCCGAATTAGTCGAATTAAAAATACCATATCACATAATAAGAGTTACGAAGTTATCATTAATTAACATATTTTTAGACAGTACACAAATATTGCTCAAATATAGCTACGTATGCAAGTTTTAATACAAATATCCATGTTATACTATTTAAGCCTAAAATCATGAAAGTATAGGTATAGATTTCTAATTCATACTTGTAGATATGCTAAAATTTAGTTTCTTCCTCCAATAAAATTTAATATAAATAATTTTATATGATTTTTTTTTATCTTGATAAGTAGTTTTTTCCGCCGAGAGAAAGTAAAGCAACTCCTGTAATTTTTATAATTCTTGTTAACATTGGTTTTGCATTAACAGAATCGAATTTTTCTAAAATTTTCTTCAGTAATATAAAGAGCAACTTAAGAACTATAATTTTGTTTGTTGAGTAGAAAAATTTAAGTCTTGTATATTTGTGCTGAAAAGAAACACGTGATCGTAGTCGGAAAATACGGTCCTTTTTCTATTACTTTCTTAAACTGAAACACACTGTATTAATAATGTGTACTTGCATTTGAAATAATTTGACTAATAAAATGTAGTTCAAATTAGTACTTGCATTTGAAAGCCAAAAGCGTTAATGTAGTACCTAATTTCCTAACTAAGCGATTTGAAGTGATGCTGCTGAGGAAAATTCCGAATCACAGCGAAGTTCCTAAATATCTGCAGTAAATTGTCAAATGTACAGATGGTGAGCTGTCCTTTGTTAATAGTGAGAAAAATAGTTGAAACACACATATATAAATTTGATATTAATTGGAACAACCTTTATTTAAAACAGAATTTCAAAAAGAAAGGAAAAAAAGTTAAATTATCTTCTGCTTAGATATTGCAGAATTTGCCGTATAACTGAACTGTTTGCTAGAGCAGGAAAATACCTCTCACTGAGCTTTTGGTGGTTTCGATGTTTATAAAAATCATTTTTTTTAAATAAATAATTTTCACTTCCTTGAAAACGATATCTTAGTTTCATAACTTATGAGGTAAACATTTGTGAAAAGCGCTGCTTTTTTTATAAAACTAAATTTAAGACAACATTTATTTAAGGATGGCCTCTGGCCGAAATTTTCCTTGACGTACTTTGTGGCAGATTAGGGTAACGAATTGCTGGTATATTATTTGCTTCTTCCTATAGTATAGGCAGTACTAGGTAAAACAGAAATGTTGTGTTAGGTATCCTTATGCATTGCTAATCTCACGTAGTATGCGTATGACACAGCTTTCATCCAGGAGTCGGTATTCGCGATTTGCTCATCTAAGCCAGATTTCAGGTTGGCTGGCACTTAAGTTGAACGTATTGTTTTATTTCTAAACCAGCATTGAGTTTCATCTCTGCCGTCTGTGAGATTACGAATGGAGCACTGATCTCGCTATTTCAATTTCTGCAAATCTAAAGCTCAAATCCATACACAGCGCGCGTTATTATCTGCTGATACAAGCATGAAACATTTGCATCAAACTAATAAAATGTAGGCAGGATATGACTGTCTAGATGATCAAGATTTTTAAGGTAGAAATTTCGGCTTATTTGGAGTTCCACCAAAGTACTGGGGCTCTTTTTTTTTAATGTGCGTATGTGAATAATAATGTACTTAGAATACTAATAGCAAGTAAACATAAGTAGAATAATAAGTAAACATACAATAGAATAATTAACTACATAAATAAATAAATATACAATGTACTTTTTTGTATATATGTGTGAGAAAGGGATTTTGTATCGATGAGTAAACCATTTTTAGTCCAAAGGGGCTTTGTCCCTGAGGGACTCTTGTTTTCGTTTTGGCATTTTGAGTTGAAATCTTTAAAAGGCTGTATCACTTTTCAAACTGTTTCCACCAAATATTATCGCCCTGTAATATATTTGAAGAAATTAAATAGTGAAGGATCTGCATAAATGTATGTATGTTTCTCGCATTGTGAAAAAACAATGGTACCTAGAGCCATCAAATTTTGAATGACGTAATCCTACTGCGAATATCGGCATCTGGAAGCCCAAATTTAAAATTTGGAATTTGTTTTATTATCGGTTTCATATTTTGTAAAACTTTGACGAATTTTTGATTAACAAACTCAAGGATTTCAGAGCGAGTAATGGCAACGTTGTACAGAAAAAACATTTTTATCTCCAACGCGTGAGACTGTGTATCGGAAATTCTAAAGAGATGCTCAATGTAAAATTATTTTGCGATATTGCTCTTGAACTGAATTTTATGGTTTAAGTGCGAAGAACCTGATATTTAATAAATAAAGGTAACACGCAAAATGTTAAAGCCCTTTGAGTAATTTAAATCTGAAACCAGATTTTTTTTTTTTTTTTTTTTTTTTCGCCTGCAATGCATTTTGAAAGGTATTTTTTCATTTTCATAAAAAAGTCATTAAATATATCGTGATTTTGCACAAATGGTGTTATTACCCAAGGGAGTGATTGGCGGAAACAAATCGTTCGGATCACTAGAAATTTCTCATAACCTAAGTATTAAGTGAAAACGTTAGTAGAGTCATTAAGTAATTTTAAAGCAGGAAACATGAAAAATGAGTTATGCCCTCGCCGGGACTCGACACTGGACCTCTCGAATACGCGCCGAGTGTGCTACCGTTACACCACGAAGGCGTGCTGGGAGGAGGGAGAAAATACCCTATATACTTCCCCTTTTAAAGGGCGACTGGGAATTAGGGCGTTATCATCCATGAGAATTAATCCATTCACGATTGCTGCAGCGTAAAGAACCACAGTAGGTCTGAGGATCTCATCTCTGTATCGCTGAGTCTTTATTGTTCCATTCCTGATAATGTGCAGGTCGATGCGGCCATTGATGGAAATACAGGCCCAGACCATCACTCCATCTCTGCCAAATCAAACTCTGATGCACAAATTCAGAAGAATTTCGTATACCAGGTTCTTTCCAAATGAGAACCCGCCTATTGTCAGGTTGTACAATAAAGCGGGACTCGCCGGTGAAGAGCACGTTACTTCACTCATCTCATTCCTATCTGAGATGCTCCAGCTCCCACCTCCTGCGGAAGCACTGTAGTCCTATGTCTATGAAACACTAACCGTAGATCTACAAGCATACAGTAGAGTATAGCATACATACAGTAGAGTCGGTTTGAAACAGTTCGAAGCTCTGGTACCAGTAGCCCTCTGGAGATGCTGTTGCAAGAAAGTGGCGTTCATAGCGCTGTTTCTTCTGGTCGTTAGTGTTAAATACCAACCCTCATTTTGTGTTGTTGCAGTTGTACGACCTTGTCCCTATCTTCAGCAGACATTTTTAGTTTCCAAAAACGGATTCCATAGTCTGGAAATGACACTGTGAGAAAATCCTAACGCTTCCGCTACAGTGGACTGCGTTTGACTCTCCTATAAACGACCAATGGTCCTCTAGGCTACTGATTTAGCTAAGTCATTTTGCTGAGACATCGTATTCATTGTTGCCAAAACATTCAACGAGTGTCAATTATCCTTAATCGCTTCCTACAGAAGGAATGCTGAAGGTAGTTTTTCACGCTGTATCTAAAACCCGTAGTTTTTCAAGGTCACAGACAAAATTTGCATATTTCCAACTTTAATAAACGTTATAATTTTCCTTTTTAACCTCTCCTATTCCATTTTTGTTAAAAAGGCTGTTAATTACATGGTTATTTCATACCAAACTCACAATATCCCCTAATTGTTTTGAGCAGTGTACATACAGTTCATCTTGGTCATTTATCTAACAAATACTTTTTTGTCTTAGGAAAGGAAAGCATAATAATGTTGTATCTTTCAAGTACGTGATGGAATCAGAGCCTCGATTTATTGTAGCAGTAGATTCATCTAAAAATATGACGTTATATGTAAGTACGATATCATTAGCTCAATTTAAAATGAATGCAGTTTCAGATTGTTTATGATTTCTTATAGACGAACGTTACGTTTTGAATTTTTATTAGATTTTTACTAATATTTCATTTACCTAATAGTCAATGAGTTATTTTACCAGCAAAGACCTGATCATAATAAAGCTTATATAAATAAAAGGTTAAATTTCAAATATATATATTTGATTCGCGCCAGTTGTTAACATCTAAAGAGATGATGCAGAAACTAAAAATAAATCTTTGTCGACGCTAACAGGCTGCAGACAGGCGACTGGACTCTCGTAATTTACAAAAGCCAAAAACCGTATCTTCTAATAATTTAGATTGAAAATTCTTTGTAAACTGGGAAAAGGTTTCACTTACCGCACAGCATGGGCACGGACAGCAGCGATGAGCTCAAGACGACCGAAGTTGCTCTCGAGAAATATATATATAGAATTGCACCTGATCGATATTAGCAGGGAGGCGTTTTTGCTATACAGCCAGCATAATTTACAACTAGCATTCGCTCTTTTCTAACTATCTTGCAAGTGACTTACATAACTTTCTGGTTTGAGCCAAAATTAGAGTCTAGAGCTAAGAGAAGGTAGAACAGTATGCAGTTAAGCAGTTAATCTTGCAAGATAGAATTGTTTTTTTTTTTTTTTTTTTTTAAATGGTATCGCAACATAAAGCTAATATCGAAGACGAGAACTACAGCAAAAAATTATTCCTAGAAATACGTTTTTCCGAAACTAGTGCAATATGACAATATCGAAACGATTCCATTCAGCACTAGATTTCGTATACGCCAACCAACAGAAAGGAAGCAAGGATCAGTGGACCAAATTTACGCAGCCTGTAACGTTCTTAGAAACAAGGATTCGAAAGGTTCATTGGACGAGGCATATAGGTGAAGCCGTTGGCCGTTTTGATACCATATAGCTTAGTGAAATACTGAATGCAAACATTTTACATACACAGATACAGTAGATGCTAGATTTTACAAAAGTGCATAGATCGTGAGCTCGTAGTTCTTTAAATTTTAACGGCATTAATAAAAAAACATAAGCTTTTCTGAATTAACGTTTGTAAAAGTGCTTAACTTGCGAATTAGAAGTGCGTAAAAATGCAAGACCAGTGTATACTTCTCTGGTCTATTTTCTGCAGTTAGTCTTTCTGAGATTTATTTGTCCGTTATAATGTCTTTTAGACATATTGTGTTTGGTATTATGCAAACCAAATTAGAAAGCTAACATTAGTATCCCACCACTAATAGATGAAATGTTTACTACGTTATTGTCGGAACAAAATTTCAGCGTATAATATTATTTAATCCCTCGTGTTTTAATTATTCACGTTTATTTTAGGACAGATTAGATCTTTTGCGAAATGCATTTTCCTATTTTTTGCTGTACAGTATGCCAGAAAATTCAACTGCTGGACTTATCAATCTACGAAACACAAGCGACAATCCTTTGCTCATCAATTTACAAAACCAGGCTGACGCTGAAAGACTTATTGATGCCTTTCCAGAAGCTTCTGGAGAAGATAGTGTGTGCGTGGAATGTGGAATATCCAAAGGACTGAAGGTACTTAAATGATAAAATTTGAGTTATTAGTTACGTAAAAGATGTAAAATATACTATATGCGCATTATAAAAAGAAGCTATACATTTCCGAAGCTTTTATTCAAATAAAAGATAATATATTCAAATTAAATCTAGCTAAGTCCTTTATTTTCTATCCTGATTATTTCAAAATACTTTGCACCAATAGAGGTTGCCTATTTAACATTTGATAAATTTGCATTTTAGTATGATAATGCCCTAAAGCTATATAACGTCGATTTAGCAAAATGCTGAAGATCTGCAGTCATGCATACTGCAAGGTATTCAACTAGAGGTAGATGCAGTGTCCAGTTGTCTTGTTTGGCATTTCAGTTTTGATTAGTTTGATTCCCTTTAAATGTAAGTTAAATATCAAGTTTAACTTGCAACCTAATCGATTAAGTGAATGCCAAACAGAACACGTAGACGCTGTATAAACCCAGTATGTATAGCTTGCAGTATGCATGGCTGCTGATCTTCTTCATCATTTTTCTAAATCAACATTTTATAGCTTTAGGGTGTTATCATATTAAAATACAGACCACTCAAAAGTTCAAAGTTTAGTATGAGTTGATTTTAGAGGCATTTCATATGCTTTATGTTTTAGCACTATATCTGATACAATGTCAATCAAACGCGTTTTCAGTTACACAAATTGGTCCACCAACCCAGCATCGAACGAGTGGTTAAAATCGCTAATCACTGGCAGTTCGACCCATGTTCACATCACAAGCTGACTGTATGAGTTCCTTCTGTTTCGCCTCGAGTACAACGTAAATGCAAGCCAGTTTCCCTAAAATGCCCTTTACGAAGTCAGCCCTTCTTTTAGGTACATAAGCCTTCACGTGCTTTGCGTTATTAAAATAACCAAACCATTGCATTATATTGCTCGTAGTAGTATATTGGGCTGCACACGCTCAACAAGCACATCGTAATATTTCATTGTACTCAACATCTGTCCAGGACTGGCTCTGAACATTTATTTTATCACCCGCTACAATTTCTGGGGCTTATAAATTTTACCTCCAGGGTTCTTCCTAAATTCTGCCTTCCGGTGTGGTCACCTGTCCTGAATGCGGATCATTTGCAGTCAAATCGCAAATTATAAAGAAAGAAAAGCACGGGGTGCTAGAAACAGAGGGATCTGCGGACTTCGGAATTGTACAAAAATGTGGGGGCCGTTTGAAGATCTAACATCTGTGCATTCAGTATGCTTCGCTGCACAGTCATGAGTCATTTATGTCATCATTATTTGAGAATACGCACATTTGTGAACAACTGTTTTCAAAAGTGAAACACACTAAGAGTAAAATTAGAATCAGAATGTCAGATGAACACATTGAGAACTCACTGAAAACTGCAACCATTTCCATCGAATCAGATAATTACTCATTAGTTTCTCATATCCAAGGTCAAATATTACATTAATATTAAGATTTCTTGTTATATTTGTAATCTTATTTAATTTATTTTAATTTTTACAATATTTTTTTATTTTTAAATTATTACAAAATTTATTACGAAATTTTATGTATAATATGCTAACACAGTTTCAATACAATTAATATTAAAATAATTCTCTGTTGCTGTCATTATATTAAAAAATCACAAATGAATAAGTATTAAATTTCTTAAATATATTTTTACATTGGGAGGGGGGATAATTAGCCATCTTTGGTGTTAGGCAATGGCAGCTCGGCATATTAATCAAATGAATCATTGCTTCACTTTAAATTTTTCTGTATAGGCGCTTTCTTATGTATAGCACACACTGAGCAAATTTGAAACTAACGCCGTCAGACCCGCACATTTCTCTCCTAGAGGTGAAATGCAAAAAATTCTTTCAGTGTTCAAACCCCAGCAAACCTGAAAATTTTTAATGAAACCTACGCTTATTTGGGAGTGGTGTGATTCGCTTATTTGGGATTTCACGAGCTGCCACTGGTATTAAAAATAATTTGAGTGACCCAAAATGTCTCTCTTCTTACAACGTCGCCCAGAGAAGCTAATCTACAAGGTTGGACACTTCTGATCTTGACGATGGTTTCGGAAGACCGAAATGAACAGCGATTGCTGTCCAAATGTGTGTGTTTCGAAATACGCCTTATCCGGTAGATCTGGTACAGACGCACAACGGCTCATTACAGTCAGCATCTCAACATGCTAGGAGCATAGTTGCTAACTTCGCCCTTGGAAAAACGTCCATTCTACTACCTCTACAAACGTCTTCCACAGGTTATAGTATTTAACGACGTTGATTGCCGTATTAATGAGCCCGGATTCGAAACCCGGAGAAAGCATTGCTATTTGTATGTCCATAGTATTTATACGGCCTCAGAGACAAGAGGTCTCTGAAAATACAGAGCGAGCCGAAAATTCTTTCAAGTGGTTAGTAGTAGGAAAAGAGGCGTAGGCAATCCTCGAACCGCCCCCCCCCGTGGTGTTCTCCCTCAAAAGTGGGGCAGAAGCTTAACAGTTAGCAAGGCCCGGCAATACCAAATATATACTTGAAGTCATGCACAGGTAAGGGTCTTGCTTCAGCTTTTATCTGTAAGTCTGTGGGCGTTTGGCGAATGACAATTTTCTGCACGAACGTCTTACCGGTTCTTCAACAATTCCCTCTATCGCATTACTCAAGGTTCTTTAATATACTAAGGTTAGGCCAGGAACGGAAAAAGCGTGCCATTGGTTGCTGGTAGTGACGTCACCCGGGAGACAAGACGCATCGGCCGACGCGTCTGCTACATGATTTTGGTAATGGAAAAAATGTAAACTAAAGCAAAATAATCATTTTATATGTGGTAGATATACCGGAAATACGGGGTATATACTTTCCGATTAAGTATTTTGTTAAAGAAAATGTTTATTTTATGCACAGAATTCGTACGAATGCTGAAAATAATTGTAAACATTAAATTCTTTTCGTAAAGGAAAGCATTAGAAAATGAAAAACGATATTTAAGTTAATTAAGGGAAATAAATATTGTAAAACAAGGTATTTTTCAATATTTTTCGTAGTATTGTTTGCACTAAATAAATCTTGTTGAACAGAACACATGATGGCATAACTGCTAAGACCATGGTAAAAACATAATCAAAAAGTATTATTCTATTTATTTTCATTGCTCATGCACTTTCCATGAGAAATATATGATCGTGATTTTCAGTTTAAATTACATATCTCAAGCAAAAATATATATAAAAAGATTTGACTTAACAAATTCATATTTAAATACCATAAAATTCTACAAATTTCTTAATATCCGTCATTATACTTTTAAATAGTATACTTATCACATTCTTTTTAAAGTGAAAAGTCACTTCATACTGATTCACTTCAGATTATTGCAGAAGTGCGTATATTTTCAGTATAATCTAAAAGTACTCTTATAATCCCTTACACTCCCAAGATTTCTATATAACATTTATCCTGACGTGATTATTTGCTATAGTAAATAATCTTCGATATTGGCATCCTATTCTTCCTTTCATACATTAAAAATGGAACAATTGAGTGGTAAAGTCGCTGAACACTGGGTAGTTCGGTTCGAATCCCGCGAACGGGCTGGCTGCATGGGTGTTTTCGTGGTTTTCCTCATGCGTAACGTGTATACGAGCCAGTTTCCCTGAGAAAGTCCTCCACGAAGGCATCACACCTATTACGCAGATAGCCCTAGTGTGCTTTGCTATAATTAAATACACCACCACATCTTAATTTCAATTCAGTCTGTACACAAATTAAATATTTTTAATCACTAATGTATTTTTATTAGCTTGTTTCTTAAAATACTTTTGTTATACTCGAAATATGTGTCAATATTGAATTATTTTTCTTTCTCTTATAATAAAAAACAAGTTATATGGAATCAAAATTAAAACATATGCAGCAGTTAAATAACACTGAACAGAAATATCTTACTTTCTTTCGCTATTTGTATTCTAGCATTATACACAGATTTGTTTCCTTCAGGTTCAAGCATGTGTAAGTTATATCAATTAAATTACATCACACATACCGTATGCATCAGTTAAATAACACTGAAGGAAATATGTCACTCACTCATTCGATGTTTGCAGCATAGTGTGGTCGAGAATTGTCCTTTCCTCACGGTGAGGCATGTATCAGTTTACTTAGTTCGCAAAGCTTAACCCAGACGCTGCTTCAATACATAGAGTTACGTTTGGGATGTAAGAAAGTAAACCAAAACATGTGAATGAAGTTGGATACGCAAATTTATTAACTAATCATTTAGGTACTCAGTATTGGTAAACATGACACTGAGTTAAAATATCTCACTACGATGTAAGTCTCATACACAAAATGAAGATTATGATAAAAAATGATTTAAATGAGAAATTTTTCAATTTAAATGTAAAATAGCAGTAAAATGAAAAATAAATGTAAAATTACGTCACAGTTATGTATGAAAACTACATAAATTCATTAAAAAAATAGTTATTTTATCTGATTGTAAAAAGTGTTTTCCGCCAAAAAACGTATTAACGTGTATATTCTGACACAACGCTTAGCACAATTTACCACTTCCGCTAGGTATAATAGCAAATTAACAACAAATCAAATCAAACTGTTGATGCAACGAAAGTAAACAAATGCCAAGAACTAACGCTGTCACCCACATGACGTCATGCGTATGTGGCATAACTTTCTCCCTGCACTGCGCATCGCTCTTGGGCCCCCCTGGCATTACTGTTGTGTTTCCGGAACTGCATGTAGTAACTATTTTCATTAACCATACTTTGGATCATTACATTATCAATCATCGAGCCTAAAATCCAGATGCAAGTGATTATTCCGTTTGATATTAACACACACAAATTTATTTACATATAACACAATGGTTAAAAGCATTATTATTAAGCGCATACCTTCGTTGCTATTAGGTTTAACACCCTAGCTCTTCCAAGAAACTGAAGTTCTAGAATAACATCAGAGACAGGACGTTCGGAGCGCCACCTAACGGCGGGAGCTATCAATTCATAACACTGCGTTACTATTTGATTCCGATTCGTTCTGTGAGTAACCTACACCTCACAAAAGTTTGCGTACGCTGTTGAGAATCACTTTGCATAAGATGTCTCTTTATATATATATTGATTAAGAGAAATAGATTTATTTCTTAATTAAGTATATATTAAGTATTTTTAATGCGTACATATTGTATGTAGAAAAGCGATGAAGTCATAGAAAAATATTTATGTAAATATAAATACTAGCAATACATTCACTGATTTGTTAATATTTATCCATGTATGCTCTTTTTTAGGCATTTCAACAATATGGAGAGATAGTGATTGCAACTGCCACCGACATAACAGAAGAAACTTACAAAAATGTGGCGAGAATGTTAGACTCAAAAAAACTTCCAATTCATATTCTCTTTTTCAAGAAAAGACTGAAGGAACCTCCTTTGTTGCAAAAACTATCTATTCACTCTGGTGGAAAATTCTTCTACATCGTAGAAGATTTTAGTTCTGAATACCCTGTCTCAAGCTTAACGTTGCTCTACGAAGCTTTCAGATCGATCTATCAAGGATTTTCGTGGATGAATCACAACCATGTTTTGGTAAGTTACAGAATATATATATATATATATATATATATATATATATATGTCACCACAGGCTTGTATACTACATATATACCGTATAAGTCTGTTCTTTCAATTCAGATCTCATTAATTTCTGAATAGTTCAAAGCGTGATAAAAAAAGAAATTTTTTATTATGCTGAATACATTTTGATTATAAAAATGAGAATTATACAATAATCGTATTATAATAATGACTATATTATAACAATGAATAATAATTACATAATGAAAAATTTCATATATCATAGCAGAGTTTAAGAAAGGCTGAAGAATTATGGGCCTGTACTGGAAAAGGCGTCCACGGCTAAGTTCTTATATGCACGTTTTCTGTATTTCCTAAATGGCAAGCTAATATATTAGTGTTGAGAGGCAGGAAAGAAATTTGGTCATTGGTCATACGGAATGTTCAAGCTCCTAAGCTAAAGAGAGAGCCTCTACTTCTTCATCATAATTCACTTTTCCTAGAGAGAAACTTTGCTTAAAAGTTATTAAAAGGCAGTTAACTGATTAAAGCTATGTGATGGCATTTACCATGCATTGTTGAAAAAAAAAACTTATCCTTGGTTTTCTGTATCTGTAACTTTTGCTAAGAGCATAATTACTTAGGTTACGTATAAACTTATACTGGATTTTGTCTTCTGACAGGAAAGCGTTATATGCAATCCTTAGGCTGTTTTAAGTTTGAGATCGTCCTCCATCTGCTGGTTTCTAACAAATCATAGGGCGTAATGGATTATATGTAGGACCTTATTGCCCAGTCGCTGGCCAGGATTAAAACAAAGCGTTCCGAGCGTATAAATAGTACACTGGTGTGCAAAAATTAAGGACGAGACGGTTTTTTCAATATAACTTTGTACAAAAGCTTTCCAAATCAACACATTTAATAATGTAAGGTCCCCAATACGTCAGGACATGAGTAATGTAAGCAACACTTACTAAAAGAGAAATCAGAGGGATAAAATGAAGCTTTATTGAAAAAGTAGCATGGAGCGCAATGCGACTGAAGGGGCGGAACATCCTTGTGATGGGTGTTCCAGCAAGAAACATCCGGTCTTTAATAGGGGATATGATCTCCCCTGACTGCTAGGCAGGTTTCACACACAGCGTCTGCCCATGCTGAGAATGAGGGTGTCAATGAGTTGTTGAGGCATTGCTGCCCATTCGTCTTGCACCGCCAATCGAAGCTCCGGAATCGTTACTGGTGGTAAAGGTACGAGCTGCCAAGCGTCAGCCTAGAAAATCCCATACATGCTCGATAGGATTGAGATCCGGAGATCGTGCCGGCCAATCCATACGTGTTCAATATCCTCACTCTCTAAGAGCTGTTCGGCAGCTACTGTGCGATGACATGGTGCATTGTCGTCCATGAAAAGGAACTGCGGACCCATAGCGCCTCTAAAAAGACTCACATATGGAAGAAGAATCTCGTTACAGTAACGGGTCCCGTTGACTGAACCTGCGTCGAAGATGTGAAGGTCTATACGACTACCAAGCATGATGCCTCCCCAAACGAGAACACCGCCACCTCCATACCTGTCCCTTTCAATGATGTTCGAGGGATGATTGCGGCTTCCCCGCTCTCTCCAGATGAGTATGCGATGAGAATCGCTACTCAGACTGAATCTGCTCTCATCTTTAAAGAGTACTCGTCCCCATTCATTGTCTCTCCAATTCCGGTGTTCCCGGCACCACAGAGAACGCCTTCTCCGATGGGCAGGCGTTAGAGGTACACACCGTACAGGGCGTCGTACAAACAGACCACCACCGTGCAGTCTTCTGGCCACTGTAAAACACGATATCGGTCGTCCAGTCGCCTGTGTCGTGTGTCTAGCGATTTCTCCCGCTGTCTGCCGCCTGTTTCTTCTGGCCTGTAAGGCAATATACCGGTCATCTGCTAGTGTGGTTCCTTGTGGACAACCACTACTAAACCCCGGATAGCTGTTCCTGTAGTTTGAAATTGTCTCCAAAGTCGTGAAACGATGCTGTGAGCAATTCCGAACTCTGCAGCCACACTTGTCACACTGCTTCCTTCCTCCAACTTCCCATTGATTAGACCTCGGGTAAAAGCATCCAGATGTCGTCTAACAGAGCAGCAACTCGGTGTGATTTTAACTGCTATACGGCGTGCAATCTCTTTGCCAGAAATACTGATCTTACACCGACAACATGCTTTATACTACTCAGACACTCCCCCATTACGTCTACCTGCATATCTGCGCATGTGCTACCGTACATCACCTTACTTAATCTCCTGATTGGTCTTTCTGTCCGCTCTGCCTCTTCGTTCAGCTGATATGCTAATTTTTTTGACTTCGTCCTTAATTTTTGCACACCAGTGTACTGCAACTAACTACGCATCGCATTTCACCACTTCACCTTTCTGTTGTCAACGTGTCGCTTAGCTTCTGATAGCTATTCTCCCTCATGTAAGATGTAATTGCGTATCTAAAAATTGTGGAGAGCTTTTGGCACCCCTAGTTTTCTACCTATTAAGAAGATATATGCTGAGAAATTCGTCATCCAAAAATAAATTATGTTTAACAGCCAAGCTAGTCGTGCTTCTTCCAAAATTACCTTCGATCATCCACTACGCCGCAGTTTTTAGTGATCTACGCATCAGTTTTCTTCGGCCGTGATGAAAAAGTGAACTGATGACTTTCCTATTCAAGCTGTCATCTGATTTCAAGTTACCTACAACAAAATAATTCCTCATATATATATATATATATAAAATATTCATCCGGATATATATCCGAATTAATGTTACACATTAAAAATAAAAATTTCAATTATTTGTTTGCATTTTTCGGAAGCGAAGATATATGTTTTAATCAGCTGTCAGGTGAATAGAGTGAAATTTAAAAGTCAGATTTTAAGCTTCTCTTTATTACTCTGCCAATTTAAATCTAATTCTAGCGTATATTGTTTGAACTTCTCTTTCCAGGTAGACAAAATGACGTTTTACAATGGTAATTCTCCCAGATATTCTATGTCTTTCACCAGTGACAAGAGCATGAAGAATTTTCAGGTTCTGCTCACAGGTCCTCATTTCATTATGGGACCACCTGTCATTAAAGATAAAATCCTCCTCAGTTATGGAAATGAGAGCTACGCGCCGGGACATCCTTCATTTGTATATAAAATCAAAATACCAGCCTATGTATTCCGTATCGAAGATCCGCAGGTATAAAGTATAGTGAAATTAGCGATTTACTTTTAATCACTCACCTATATTGTTGCATTTCACACAAGAAAGTACTGATTTAAATGTATGTTATTTTAAACTGTCTGCCATTTCAGCCTGGCACTTGGACTCTGTCTTTCGAAAGAAAACCTGGTTACGACAATCCGTTAGTCGTCATGATCAGATCATCAACCAAACGTTATAATGAAATTATTAACCTTCAGCCTTGGCTTGCAGTAGAAGATACAATAAAAGTAAGCATCTGTATACAATATGAACACCATTTAAGTTGTTTTTGTATGTGTATGAGGTAAACTTTCAAGTGCTTGTAATGATTGCTTATAAGTTATGCAAGTTTTATCGACGTTGAACTACAAATATGTTACAAAGTCAAACATTTGATAAAAATACATTTAAATGTGAAGTTTTAATAATACTTACAGAGTATCTAATCGAATACTTAGAACTAGACACAGTGTGAAGCTTTAGAAATAAAAGAAAGAGGAAACGAATTTAAAATGATTATTATATTACGATTATTTAAGTTATGGGAAAGTACACGAGGGCTATCAACGCGTCTTTTCTAAGGGTTTGGTTTTCGTTTAATTTATTCGATTAGGACAAAGCACGCGAGAGTTATCTACCTAAGGGAAGGGATGCATTCGTGGAGGACTTTCTAAGGGAAATTGTCTCTTATCGTTACAAACGGGGAGATCACGAAAACGCCCGTATAAACAACCCATTCACCAGGGTTCGAATCCAGATCGAATTACCAATGTTTAGCGCTTTTAGCAATCGGCTGCTAGTGGAAAATTCTTATTATACAACGTAACATTTAATTTATTGAAAATTTCCAATACATTAAAATTTTACTTGAAAACCAAATACAATACTTGCAATGCAATACAAAATGAAAAATCTCCTTATCCTCTCTTCAAATTTTCTGCTGTGAAACTTGATTCAGATATTCCTCATTACCATGTGAAATACGAAATAATTCGCAAAATGTGTCAATGTTGTCGCAAAAAAATTAACTGACGAAAGAATTTAAAACATACTCCAACGGCCGTTTTTTTCATATTGGCATCAATTTCAACACGCACTTCTAAGGCAGAAAAGTTACTCTCATACTATTGTTCTCATATTATTGAAATATTCTCTTATACTATTGCAAATGCTCATACTATTGTCCTACAAATATTACTAGGCTTCCATTCATATTTATCGCACTTTCTTTACTATGTTTATTAATAGGAAATTCAATTAAAATACTACATGAAATTTTTCGAACTTGATCGATTTAACTTTATTAAGCGTGAGTATTCCAAAAAAAATTTTTTTTTTTTTTTAAATAAAAGAATATTGAATAACTACTAGTATTTGAAAAAAATCAAACCGATAACATTACAAAACATAATTAATTCTCTTGTTTGCTGCAGAAAATCAAAATATTAATGAATTAACTTTCTCACTCTGATTGCTTTCATGGTTTATCTTTTCCTCAGGAAGCACTCTACTTCTGATAGATAGAAAGCAGTACTGAAATTTGCGATAATTAATAATTTCTAATGATTTTCAGAAATCCAATACATTTAAATTTAAACACAGTTTTCCAGTAAAATGCTGAAAAAAAACACGTATTTGAAAAGTGTCTTTTAATCCATATAAATACTGTTTATGATTAATTGTCAATTTATTCTGACACTTGTGGGGCTAAAGAAGTCAAATATAAGAAATGAAGAATTTCACACCTCTTTTGGCTGTCCTATCAGTTAAAAAGGATTATATTCCAAATGACAGAAGAAAATTGTATTCTTATGATTTAATTGGAATTTGCGTATTAGGATTTGTTTGAAAGTAGTAGTTGCCCATAATGGTTAACCCTATTAATGCAGCTGACTGTATTTTTAAAGTTATATTTTATACTCCGCTCCATATAGAAAATTAACTGACATACAAAAGCGTTTCAAATGAAACTTGTCTTACACATAGAAAAGCATATTCTTAAAAAAATTAGCTTAAAAAAATTACACGATCTCAGTAGTTAAATATATACAGGGAATTTAGTAAGTATTACGACTACAGTTTCCGCTAATATAAACGCTACCTATACAGGGCATTGATGCAGCAGTTACTCCAAGAATACTGTATATCATGTGTTATTCACGGAAGTTTCCAAATCATTATAACTTTAAAGGGTTTCAAGCATTTATATGCCACATATTCTCAAGTAAAACTCATGTATTCATGTAAAACTAATTTCAGGCAAGAAATCCTGGGATCAAAACTGCCAAGGAATGAATACTTGGTAAATCGTAAACGATGCCTGATGCTCTCATCTGAATATGACAGATGTAGGCAGAGGCAAGACTGGCACCTGTGCATCCATCTAGACACATTAATTGTGGCTGGACTTGCTAACTGCTAAATTTCCATTATGGATGGAATTCTGGAGAAGAACATCCCGGGAAGCAGTACGAGTGTCTTCTACCCTTCTTACCCAACTATAAACCTCTCGAGAGATTTCGGCTTGCCGTGCATTTTGAGTGACATCTTGCCACACAGACAATATACGCTTACAGATATCCATGCTTCAGGATTTAAGTTCGGCCCTTCGGTATGGCAGCCAATAACGTTAACCACTATCTCGCCTGGGGCGGGCATTTGATTATGAAAATGTATTATTTTACTGAAAAATGCCCCTTGTTATACCTCGAAAATATGTTATGAATCTTATCAGCAAGTCCTTGTGTATAATTGTATCGTGCGTACATTATTCAAAATAAAATAAAATTATTTGGCTGTTAATACTGATGGCAACCCAAAACCATGACTTCAGACTAACAAAGCACGTGGATTCATTAGTAACAGATGGATCAGCAAGACTGCCACGTTGCCTTCACATTCTCGTTCAGAGACGTATTTGCTGAGATAGAAGCTAGATGACCCCCCTGAATACTATATCATACTAGTATCCTGAGGTGACTCTGGTACGACAGCACTGCGAGCATTCTTGCTATGGTTCGGTAACATTGAATTTTTTTTAAAAGATGTTTTAAATGACTCAACCAATTAACGAGAAACTGTTTGCTTCGATATTTTGTCTTCGAAATTTCTCAATATGCAACTCAAATTGTAGTCCTGGTGGAATATGAGGTAGCTACTGTTTGAGGTCAGTCACATTAATTTGTTGACGAGATTAATCATGTCACATTGATGATGAATCTGAAATATGACTGTTTTCAAGAAAAAACATTTGAACAGTAAATGAAGTTTAAGGACCAAAGTCTGATTTCTGAATTTCTATTTAAAACTGTAAGGATATACCTGTTAATATTTTTGGTGACAATAGGAAAGGATTCACTCATTGCTCTTCCATGATACATGCTTCGACTCTGACGGTGGACACTGATATCTTCTCTTTATGTTTAGCCTCACTCAATGGACTTTTTGCTATCACTCTGAGAACTTTGCTATGTATCTGATGAAATATGTAGTTCCTTCATCTGAAACTATATTCTTACGTTATGCTGTACAATATCTTGTTAGTCTGGGATAGGATTTCGGCCCAGAAACCCATGCTTCGTGGCCTTCGACCTCCTAAGAATAGAAAATGGGAAAGGATTCCGTTTTCGACATATTTCTATAACCTAAAAATTCCGGTAAGGAGTGGCGTAGCCAGAGCTTTTGGATCCCAGTAACGCATCTGGTTACTAATGAAGAAAAGGAAATTTGAGCTCTGAGTGTACTGTATAATTTACAACACTTAGGAAGAAAATAAAAAGGGAAAACAATTTTTCAAATAATGGTAATTTTTTTCAGGGCTGGATTAATAGTTAAACAATATAAACACGCTCTTGTAGTGCTTCAAGGTGAAAGGCGACTACAGAAATTTTTACTAGAAAAATTGGTAAGTCAAGATTTTCCTTCACCTTCTTTTCCCCCTACTTTTAAATTAACAGAGTTTAGAAGAGAAATTAACAGAGTTTTATTTCAAGCATGGCTTGAAATAAAGCATAAGCTTGTCTTCAAGCTTTGCTTTTTTAGGATTAGTTTGTACAGACATTTTTTTAAGGCATAAAACGGGAAAAATACGAAACAGTTTTATACGAAATTACACATACATACGTATACATTATACGAAATTCAAACCATAAATCTCTTGCTCAAACGTGCTAGCAAATCACAAGAGCCGTTAAAGAGTAAAGAAATAATTCCTTATTTCACCGGGCTTTGTATTGTTGATTCAGTAAATAAATTTATACAAAAAAGAAATATACCATGTAAGATACAGGGTTAAGAAGAAATGCGTAAAATATAGAGCTAAGGAAAGAAGCTCTAGATTGATGGACAATATATATATAATTGTGCTTTGTTACTTTTATCTGTCAGACTGCACAATAAGTGAATATATAGAAAGATGTTATAACAATATACTATTATTTACTGAAATAAAAAATATGAATTATTGAAAAATTTGAAAAAAAAATTACAATTCTTTCATAAAATGTATCTTTATAATCTTAAAACATTGACTTACATGAAAGCCTTAAAACATAATCTTAAAAACATATTTATATCGAAACCTTCTTAACCAAAATTATTTAAATGTGTGATTTTTATGAAATGTTATTACCTACTAAATTTCTTAATCACTTTGCTTTTAATTTCTCTTTATTTCTGCATCTCTTTTTTTCTACGTTCTTTAATTTTTTTATAATTATCCTTAATACTGTAGCCAAGCAATATGGCTTTTAAAATTAATGGATCCATTTTTTTCGGCCATTTGACTTCAGTGCCTTATTATGACAAGATTGAATAAAATTAAATGTAGAGAAAATTGAAATTAATACGCATTTTTTATAATTTATAAACAAGTACTAGCATAACATCCGATGGCTGAGAAATAACCGATTGCTGTGAAAATTCCTTGTTACATCCTGGGTTCGATTTCCGGAAAAAATATATATATATTTGAATGCATCGGTAATTTGTTATTTACATATGCAGCCAATTTTTCTAAAAACGTTTTTCACAGACTTCTCTTTTCAAAGCTTAGGAATCTTGAAAAATAAAGCATAAGCTTGTCTTCAAGCTTTGCTTTTTTAGGATTAGTTTACACAGGCATTTTTTTAAGGCATAAAACGTGAAAAATACGAAACAGTTTTATACGAAATTACACATACATACATATACATTATACGAAATTCAAACCATATTTGAAAAAGGAAAATCAATTTTCAACTCATACAGAGTTTTGTCTTAAACTTTGAAGAAGGGTTTAGAAAGAAGGGCAATTTATTTTAATGCGTTTGCTTAGATTTAAAGTGTGCTCGAGAAAAGGTACGTAAGGTGTATTTCCTTAAATAGTAATTTTAGAAGCAATATGCATTCAATTAAAAAATGTTTCAGAAAAGGCATGAAATTTTATGAAAACAACTTTTGCCTGGTGGGTGGGATGGGCTGAGCAAGTAATAAAATGTAACTTTCCATAGAGCGTTTTTTTCCATCGCACCAAATTTCTAATTAATGAAATATTTATTATACTTTAATAAGTTAAATATAAAGTTCTTTACCCTTAAGAGTGCAAAATTCCCGAATTTATTAACATTATGACTTACTTATGATATTGACTGAGGACTTACATATGATATGACAGAATTCCTTAGTTTTGAATGGAAATTTTTATTCTTTTTAACCCTTTCCGGCAAAATAAAACATGCAAGTGGAATAAGTTTTATCTCAAGACAGGAACAGAAACCTGGTCGACATCCAGGTTTGCTTAGAACAGTGAAAGCATTCTCCTCTTTTGATAATAGATCCTTCGTAAGGCATGAGGTAGGACACTTAAAAGACTCTAACGGGTCCTTATATGTCAGCATATTTTTTATACCCCTATTAACGCCACTGGCGATATCCCCAAGCTCTCTCTAGCTCTGACAAAGAGAAGTAATCAAGGATTACTGTATTCCAGACCAGAAGAAAGGACAGCAGTTATTACTGCACGTCTGCCTAACAGATAATTACATACAGCCACATTGTCATGGCTTTTGGTGATTTACAATTTTGATTTCGGCTAATGCTTGTTATATAGTGGTAAAAGTCCATTGTCATTCACCTTTCATTTCCGACACATAGCCGTAATGTAATTTGTAATAGGTATTGTACATATTTGCAGTAAATGTACGAAACATTATCTAATGAGCAAACAACTTGTGGTGTTCCTCTGAAGTTTGGGAGCCCGCAACTGCGAGGCCCCTAAATCGGTCCTGCTACCACTAATCGTTCATGATTTAAACTTACAACACCTGTAATGAACTCCTCAATTAGACAAATATACGTTGCGAATGGCTTAACAAAGCCATTTTTCTCTCTTAATTTCTGTCCTGGAATATAGGAAACAATGTAAAAACTAAGTATCCATATGTCTGAGAAAGTTTTTAAAATTAATTTTTTCTTTTTAGAACACTTTTCAAAAGACTTCTTTGTTTCCTTAGTCATATCCTGAAACATATATTTTTTTCTATAAACATACCTAAATTAGCTCGCAATAATCTTTTAAATTATTTTTTATTCTTTACTATTTGTTACAGAGCAGCAAACCAAAGCATCCTCCAGTCGCAATGTATGTCGATGTAAGAAAGGGTAATCAACCCATCACCAATGTTAAAGTTACAGCTCATATTTCCCAACCGAACACTAACAAGGAAATTCTCTTAGAATTATACGATGGTGGAGAAGGAGGTATGTCTGAAGTTATGAATTGTCCTTTAATTATTTTAAAACATTGAAAGATGTACTTTCTGTCGCAAAACGTATTTAGTATGGTTGTCCAGTTTGCTGTTACATCTTGAAAAAATAAATTAGAATTTCGCACTTAAAAGTTTCCTAAAAATTATCGAGGATGTATGTTTAAAATAATGAAATAATCGAAAGTAAAGTTATAGAATTTTTGTTAATTAACCGGTTATCTTTTGATTTTGACTGTATTTCTACTTTCGCCGGCCCCCAGCAGCCTACAAATGAGTTAAAGCATACAAGCATAGAGTTCTTGAGTTCGAGAAAGAGACAGCCACCAGGAGCCATCGCTTACTTCTCATTCTAATATTTCACCCCGCTGCTATGGTGCTTAACATGCTTTAGCTTTGCTAATCGCAATTGCTTTGTGAAAGACTGAGGGACAGAGGAATTTAATATTTTATATGTATTTAATATTTTAATTTGACCGGAACATTTATTTAATGTTATCCTGCAAGTAACGGTTTTTCCTTTTATGTTATTGGATAACTTGTGTCACCGTTAGGTTGATAAGTAAATAAAAAAATATGTTAGTCATTCATCTGAGTTTGTTTTCTGTACTATAGGAATTATAATGGGACGCTAAGTCATCTATCTATCTTTGTGGTTTAACATGTCAACAATCAAGGTAGTGTGGAACCATAGAAAGCATTACCGTCTTATTTGCACACCAGTGGCTTCACTACAAGGACATGCATATTATAGAGCATGCCAAAGAAGAAGAGCAACAATATTACTTAGTATTCTGGAGGTTAGAAGAAGCAAAGCGTCGTTGGAATGATTTTAGTATAATGCTTCGTTTTAGAGATTTGCGACTTCAAATTTCCAGAACCTCACTTCCAACCAGACTGCTTGAGGGACACATAGTGATGTGCTCGCAAGGCTACAGTGTCCCGCAAGATGTATTTTCGTGTCCGAAGTGTTCAATTCGCCGACTATTGACATTAAAGTGATTGTGCTGTAGCGTTAGATTATGAACTGTCTGACACAATCGCAGATGCCTGGCGTCTCCGAATGTTGTTGAAAGTTAACTGAATGCGCGCAATGAGTTCTTCTATAACATTCAAGGATTTCTGGTGCGCAAAAGGGGTTTGAAATCCGGCGAACAGACTGGCTGTATGGGTGTTTATGGGTTTCTTCTCATGTGTAACATGTATGCGTGCCAGCTTTCCTTAGAAAATCATTCACAGAGGTATCCCTGCAATTAGGCAGACAGCTCTAATCAGATATATCCAAAACCCAAACCTAGCGCACTAATGAATTTACATGGGCTCATGAGACGAAATTGATGAGATTCAAATGTGGCGAACTGCTGACCGTAGGAATATCACCCAAAATAAGTCACAGTGCTCTTTTCTTTGGACAACCAGAAGTGATAGCGGAGCATTTTGAAATCGCAAATAAAAATACCGTAAATATAAGTATTCGTTGCAGAATATGAAAAACAGTACAAAGGCAAGAATGTGGAAGGATCAAAATCATCATTTGATGTTATAATCTTTGGTCATTTTGAGAAATAAATTCTATTTGAGTCATAATAATTATACTGCTGATAAAGTGGTTTATATAAAGAAGTTATTTTCATTGTAATTGCAAATCTGTTTTACATATTCTCTGTGTAAAAACTAATCATTAAGCAAATGCAAAAATATACCTATTAAATAAATATAACTATAATATAATTCGCATAGTACTTATATTATCTATCTGTAAATTAGCAAATGAATTTAAATGAAATGACTTTTGGAATAGTTAATAAATATATTCATAATTTTTTGCCTCAGTTTCAAAATATAAATATTAAGTTTCGGAATGGCAGCAGCTCTTTTTCTTATTTTTTTTGTGATTCTTTCAGTCAAATATTTCTTTAGTGAGTTTGAGAAATTTCCTTTATTTTTATCCTAACTGAAATCTTTAAACAATCCTAACTAGTTAAATTAGTACGATTCTATGACTGTTTAATGTCTAACGTTCTAATAAAAAACTTCTATTTCTACAGTATATTATGTTAACTATTTACTATCTCATAGTTATGCGTAAAAGATGTGTGATTATATATTAATGATTTAAATTTAAGAATTTGCATCAATCTCTCATTTATAGCAGTTTAATTGCCTTACCTTCTCAGAAAAAAATCCTTTTTTTTACAGTATATTATGTTAACTGTTTCTCTTAAAAGACTGTAGAGTTATGTATAAAAGAATTGAAACAGCTTTAGTATAGCCCACCCAGAATTTTAACCAAAAAATATTGCCAAGAATGGCGATAAATGATATGATGTGGCAACTCATATCGGTTTATAAGCATGTGGTAACCCATGCTATTTTGCAACCGCAATGTAAACAACAATAAATTTCTGATTTCTAAAGGGGATGGAATTATGGTTACAGCTAACATAGTGGTCAATTACATTTTTTTCAATTTCAATTCTAATTACCGAGATATCCATTTACTCAGAGTTAAATGCACATGGCCCTGTATTCTTACTTTTCCGGCATAGCTTTCTCTTAGAATTTGTCTCGCGCTGCATTGCACGGAGAAATACAACATTTTTAATTAGAATTCTACTAAAATTAATTATCTAAATACAAAATTCTTAACACTCTTTCCGGCGATTGTTTAACGCTTAGATATTGTGCAGAATACTGTTTTGGAGAAAAGATTTTTGCATTTAGTTAATGATTGATCTAAACCTATTGTGGATTATTGAAGGATAAAATTTGTTGTGAAAAATGTAACATACCATGCAAAGCCATCTTATATTTGAGAAAGCCAAGCAAAGGTGAGATTTTCCGGCATTGTTTTTAAAATTGCGTCCTTTTAACCTTAATAATTTTCATTAATCGTTCCTTAATATTTTTTCTTTTAAAATTGTGTATAATAGCCAAAAATTTATTTTTATTATCCATAATTTCTAGTGAAATCAAGATGGGCGCGATTTTTGAAACACGAAGTTTCGTCGAAAATCTTGATGGTAACCAATTTTCAAAACAACATATTTCATGCGCTTTGGCGCCAAAAAAACAAATTTGCCAAACTTTGAAGGTGGGCTATACTGAAGCTGTTCCAAATAATTTTCAATTTATGTGATTATAAATGATTTAAGATTTAAGAATCTGCTACGTTATCTTATTTGTCGCAGTTTAATTGATGAAATATAATAACGCACAATAATGGGATAAGATCGTGCCATAGCAGTTTCCTGTATACAGAATACTTTGTGTGCAAATGCTTATTAAAAATTTTCATGTTCATTTTCAGATCCGGATATTACGAAAAATGACGGGATTTTTTCCAGGTACTTTAGAAATACATTAGATACTGGATATTATTTTTTCACTTTTGTTGTGGAGAGCTGGAATACTTCGATGAAGCATCAGACTCAACCACAAGGTAACTTAGCCTTCTTCAAAGTACACAGTTGTTTTATATCTCATTGATTTAACTAAAATACGGTAATAAAATAGTAAAATAGTATATCATTTTAAAAACCTTAATTTAATAATTCATGCAGACCAGTTTTCACTTGTGCTTTAACACAAAAAAATTTTATAAACGCTCATATTACATGTATTATAGATGATATATAGTATTTCTTTATTTTACCGGCATGGTTTTCCCGCTGTAACTACAAAATGTTAATTTTTGAAGGGAATATTTTATTGTCGAAATAATGTTTCTTGTAAAAGAAAATCTAGATAAGCTCTTTAAAAAAAATCTCATTTTGTAATTCAAGTTCAATATTTGTTAAAACTGTTTCTAAAAGTTTTGTCATTATTTTCAAAAATCATAAATGTTTCATCACTTTTGAGGAATATTGCAAACTAATTGTTTTTAAATTAAGTATTTCATGTGATTTGATACTATGTTATTTTCATATTATTTTGAATATCTTAATATTAAAATTATTGAAACAATCATTTTAATGTTCCTACGTATTCATTTTTGTTTATCCTTCAGCAATAAAAAATTCTCATTGCTGTGGTAGTTCTATTCCCGTGAATTTGGCTTATGACTCCGGATCGTTCAAGAGAGTTGCTTCATATAGAAGTTTCTATTTAAACAAGGAAAAATTAGAAACGCATTTTCCACCAAGAAGGATAAACGACCTTAGGGTGGATTCAATTCAGATTTCTGAAAACAATGTCACATTCTATGTCTTAAATTGGACTGCGCCAGGAGATAATTATGACACTGGCACTGGTAAGTTACTGGATCAATTAGTTTAAAGTGTCATTTGTGATATTTTATGTTTAGTTTCACTTATTATAAGTGTTTTGTTTGCAATACGTTTCACTCCTTCTTTACAAAAATTAAAATAATAATAATTTAAAAAAGTCTGAAGAAGTTTTAAAGCACGTCCAACCCCCAAAAAATAATAATAAATAAATAAATAATAAAAAAAGACAGAGAGCAAACGAATTAAACAACTTATAAAGTATTATTTTATACATTGCTACCGTGCGTTTCAGACCATAAGTAAGTGTTCAGACGGTGGTATAGCTGTCACTATTATCTTAGCCATAAGTCGTTGTGAAAGTCGTTACATTCACACATGTGAAACAGGGTTTAAGCCGTAGCTAACAAAGATAATTAAAGTTCCGCATATGTGAGTGGTTGAATGCAGTTCGTATTTGCCTCACTGTGACTGGTCTACCAGGGTGACATAAAGTTCAAAAGTGTAAACATTTAGACAAAATCCTAGTACTATTTTCCAAGATGAAGCAATGTTTGGCTACCTAGCAACGGAAATTCGGCTTGTGTTAAATTGTGACAGCTATACCATGACCTGAAAAGAGACAATTCACACAGTTGTCTAGACGTCATTATTGACATAGGTTTATGACGTAACAGTCAGTCTCCATAATACCTGCTAAAGGAGGTTTAATTCGTAGCCAAACAGGGAACGGAAAGTTGCGAATACTTAAATATGCAGCTGACTCAGCAATACCATTGACCGAATCAATTCGTGTTTATTTCGCTGTGAATTGTCGGTTCTTATACCAACTTGACATAAAGTGAACAAGTTGAAACATTTGGGCAAACTTATTATTCTAGCTTTCACATGACGACTTAAAAGATCCCATTTCCCATAGTCATAATGCGTAAAAGTCATTAGCTAAGCTTCAAACCTATCAATGCATAAATTTACGCGTAGGACGTTAGAATGAGAAGGAGGGAGAGTTCGCAGTTTGCTCCACTAATCGGAAAACGAAACTTGCCTAACAAGTAACGACCATATTTTTGAGATCAAAACATTGCTCTATGGTAACGAAATATACTTATTTCTAGGATGCACCATGCATGTGTTTTTAAATAAATATACAATGAAATGCCTCGCTGTTGTTAAGTTTTTGCTCTAGAATAATAAAGATAATATCTAAAATTGGTACTTTTTCGTTTTGCACCTGTCACGCATTTTGGAGAGTTTATTAATTGTAACCAGTCAATGAAATGTATTAAATTAAAGTTTTATAGTAAAAGAGTTATTTAAAATTTTATACTTTAAAGTTTTAATAGTTTGGTTCTCAGATGGTGCTTTCACTGGATCTCGGCGCTTGTTTGGTTTCTCTTTCACGGGCACCAAAATGCGTAGCACGTGCATAACGGAAAAGTACCCTAAAATTTATACAAAATTATGAAGAAAAAGAGTGAAATCTAAATGCTTATATGTAGTATAAGACATTAAAATCATGTTTATGCATATTTTAAGCACTCGCTTAGATTTTGTTAATTATCTGTTAAATGTTACTTACTTTCCAGTTTCTCCTTTAAAAATAGATATTTTTCATTCAAAATGTTATCGCAATTTAATACTGAATCAATGTTTCAGGAATTTAATGCAAAAATGTTTCAGGAACTTATTTTATTTCAGCATGCTTTATAGTTTAATTTTCAGCTCTATATACTAAAGCCGGAAATTTAGTAACTTTATTTTACACTTGCTACATATTTATGAATATCGATTAAAGAAATTAATTAGAATTCAAGCTCTGTTAAAGAAATCAAATATATAAATTTTTGGATATGCCGTTTTGAAAATGCATTTGATGTCATTTGTTTACAAATACGTTCTTTCTTTTTTTTAAATTTATTTATTGTTAAAAATTATATTTTATTGTGCAGTTAAATAACATATAATTCAATTGGTTTTTAAATAAGGAAAACTAATAGTTTCTAACGCATTTTAAATAAATACTTTGAAACGAACAAAATAGCTTTTTTCTTCTATATTATTTCTAAAATATCAACAAATTTAAATCCATTTTGATGTGCACGTATATTCCTGCGATATTTAGGTATCAGTAAACATCGTTCATTCAAGTGCATAATCGTTCATTCAAGTGCATGCGTTCATAAAGGGCATTGTTGAGGAACACATAAAACACCTAAATACTACATGGGTGACTCATCTGTCCCTCGCATTAGCGTAGCTAGCGCGATCATCGGGGAGACCAATGGTATATTCCAAAACGTCCGCAATTCTCTGCTGCCACAGTTTCAGCCTTGTATCATTGATGGCGGCTGTAACTTCGCCCAGCCGTGAAAGAAATAATAAGAGATAATAGTCTATCGCACACAATTTTACACTCTCGCATTCTTTGCCGTGTACATGGATAAAATTATATCATTAGATATATCTTTTAAATGCACTAATTTTGATACTAGTTACAAATCTGTATGATTAGTTAGTTAATTGCTAATTAGTATTTGATTTTTCAAAGTTGTGCTATTGTGCATTTCAATAAGATATGAAAAGTGCCTAATCACAGTGGAAGTCTGCATAATATGAAGATCAATTTTATACACCTCGAAGCAGCAAGATGCAGGCTGATAAATATCTTGCGATAATTAAAACAACAGATCGTGAGAAATTTATTTTTCCGATTTTTGCACGTGGTCAATCAGGCCAAGCGTATAATCGACAGCATTTCGCCAACCATAAATTCCTCTTAGCAAAAGACAATACAGAAATTTGAAGGAAAGTGTACCTTACAAGATTATAATTTAAAAGTTTAGAATGTGGTATCACGCGAATCAGCAAAACGGGACGGGCAAAAGTTTCTAAACAATTTTCAAATCGGCTAATTAGAAACCAGAAATGTATCTAAGGTTTTTCAGCGCCCGTGGACAAAGATTTTGCGTCCTTTTCTGTGTTCCAAGAATGGAAAGCATATCATTCTGAAATGTGTGTCATCAATTTGGCGCCCACCGGATGCTACGCCCGGGGACGTATGTACCCCCCTTGTCCCACCATAGCTACGCCACTGTTAGAAACATAATTTATAAATTCTCAGGTAACCTTGGATCCAGTTGATATCTTGGATTTCTCCTTATCCTTCATCCCGGATTTAGGGGCAGTCCGTCTTTGAAACTCCCCAGCACAAGTATCAATAATAGAGCAAAAGGAATTGCCGAATTTTCTAATGATCATTATTTCAGCATCTAATTAAAGGATCTTGATAATTTTTTTCACATTATTATCAGCGGTAAAAGGAATACCAAAGATTCTAATTTAAGAAAAATCAACTTACTTTTTCAAGAGTTATTGGGTTGTTCCCCCCTCCACCGAATTTCAGACATCATATTAGACTTAATTTCCCAAAGAATGCAATGTTTAAGTGTGTGTAATACAAAAAATTCAAGAGCCACTGTGATTATTAAGTAATATTAAATCATGTTATTTCATTCTTGTCGCGTTATTTTTTAGAACTTACTATTCACTTCAAAGCACAGAAGAACGGATGAAGTATAGTATTTAAGGTAGATCTGAAATCTTATGTTAATATCACAAAGGAGACTCAGCTGGAAGTTATTGTAACGTTAATTAACCAACTAAATACGTCTCCATGTTCTATCTGATGAACCATTAATTTAATCAAAAATCGGCAAATGTCTATGGTATTAGATAAAGCTTTCATTATTATGAGCAAACTAATTAATAGGTGTAATTTACTACAAATTATAAAATTTTCTATCACAGTATAAAAGTAGTTATTTGTAGTTTAAGATGCAAAATTTCTAACTGATATCTTATAGCCTACATTCAACAATATTCATGTATTAAGCTCCACACACACGTTTCAAATACTGTTTAAGAAGTGTAACTAGCACCTTAAGTATTTAATATCGGTGACAGTTGTTTAGCGATCTAATTCTGTGTACTGAATGATTTGAACGTGTCTTATATGTGTTGGTTGTGAACTATAGTATTCAAGTTAAAAGGTCTGGTCTTCTTGGGTAGTATATAATTAGATCAGGACTCTAGAAGACAACTTGTGACTTTTCCCTGTGTCTCATAAATAAGACAAAGCAAGGGTGTAAAGGACCTTTACATTAATCAAAATAAAGTTTAACAGATGACACCAACTCGTGTTCACAGAAGCCAACACTTTTGGCTTTAAATAAGAGATAATGGATAAACTAAAGTCTAGCCTAACGTCTTTACAGTTTAACTAGCGCGCTAGTTGGCTCTGACCAAAATCGGCGTATACAAGTCTAATGGCAAGAATAACTCAACGCCGCAGACTTCTAATCGAGAAAATCAAAGTTAGCAACGTCGCCTTCAAGCAGGCAGAACACGCTCTGATTTCGCCCTCCAAAAACTTCCTTTGAGTACTTCTTTCCTTTTACCTAATTCTGAACATCACGCGCGCTCAAAATTTACATTCTAGCAGGGAAATGAAACGAAGCTTGATAGTAAAAGCTATTAAAGTAAAATAACTGGTTAGCAAATTAAAATTATTAACTTATAAGGTTTTCGTGGTACATTTAACCGGATTGAGATGATATATCAGTATTTCTTTCATTGTTTTCATTCCAATGTATTCCTGATTAGCGAATGTCTCTCATTCTTCCCCTCATCAAGCTGATATTTTTTAACTATTTGTGTTTAGTATCACCCTTTAGAGTTTTTGTGTTCTCATTAACATTATATTATCGTGCTTTTCCACACAACTCTCCACTGCCCTAAACTACTTATTACAAACAGCAATAACAACTGCCATAAAGGAACAAAACAACATGGACCCATTAGATTCATTACAGGATGTAGACAATAATATAAGAGCACCAAGCGAAATGTCCAACAGTTCCGCCATAACCGAAATAACTGTTTCTGTAAAAGGTTATGAAGTACTCCATATAGCAAACCAAGCATCCCAGAATGATACCACTCGAAACATAGAAGATTATGTGACCTTCCTGGAACATGTCGCAATTCCAGTTTCCCAGGAAAAGGAAGTTAAAAGTCAAAACCCTGAACACGCTACTTCGATTTATAACAAATGTATCGAAATCTTAACAAAAAGAACAAACAGCCCATAAGGCATTTTGCATTATCCAATAAGCCGGCTCTGAACCTGCATGCCTTTTTAAGATATGAAACAGCAAATAAACACCTTCGAAGGAAAAGTTTTAAAATAATCGAAAACTTAGCAGCAAATGGATAAGAATTACGTGCGCCCATGTAACATAAGCACCCTCACTCTGTTCCACAACTAACCATACTAAAACTAGCGAAAAGTATGATAGCGCATATCATCAACAGAATTTTATATAATACTTTATTACTTGTACAGTCTTAAAATATATAAAATTGCAAATCAATGTATAATCACTATTGCATATATGTATATCTATAATAGTGACATGTAAAATTTAGTTAATTACATTATAATTGCAATAATATGGACTTTAATAACTACGTGAATACATATGACGTGTAATCTGCCAACATGTTAAGTAATACAAGTGTTAACAAATAAGTATCAGGTATCTTGAAACAAAACGTACGCAAAAACGAGCTGTATGTAAAATTGTACTATATGAAAAAAGGATATTTTACAGGAAACATATGTAAAACAGAACTGGCTGAAAGAACTGTAGAACTTCAATCCACAAAATATTGCATCAAACAAAATTGTGCAAACAATCGTAATTCAAGTGGCATAATAATAGTGCGTAACAAATATATAACAATTATGTAATGACTCATGTACCACTAAGCTATAATAAAGTACTCCGGACAAGCGGATGAGTCCTCAGATGTGCTGCTGCCAGTTGTACTGCCCGCTGTATGACGTTAGCTGGCTGCCTTCTCTCACAAGCCTAGTTTGTTCGGGATAATTAGTATGAAAGGGCAACACCTGAATCACCTGTTGGTATATATCTGGTGTTCCCCTTACTTGTGCCTCTAACATCGAATACAAATTATGACCTTTGAATATCGCAAATGTAAAGATTAGCTGATTAAAATATCATTATTAACATTACCCAATTTTACTCAGAAACTCTTTATAGTAATGCAGAAAGCTTAAATACGGAAAACAAACTTTTGGAAGTTTGATGTAAGAATTATCGTGGACGAAAAATTGTCACCCACATACACACAGACAGACATCACTGTAAAAATAGTAAAAACGTGTCGCGAAGACCCTAAATCGTGCTTATTCATTGAAAGCTCATTTTAAAATATTTTAAACGGAAACACTATGAATATATTTACTTAAAACAACTTGATATACATCTGTCTTGTCATCTAACAAAGCCTTCTTTTTTCTTTACAGCTGCCAATTACGAACTAAGAGTATTTCGCAGCCGAGATGATACCTACAGTGGTTTCGATACGCATTACGTACAGTATATTGATATGTGGAGTGTTCACGGCTCCGTATTTATACCTGCAGTAGCGGGAACGATTCAGAGTGCGATTGTAGAACTGAAGAATCTTTCCAGCGGAATTTACTACTTAGCCATGCGAGCTGTTGCTTTCACGGGTGCTAAAGGAGATATTTCGAACATTGTAGAGATAATGTACACTAAGCCTGACATCATGGATCCTTCGATTAATCCTACAGGAATTGAGCCAATTACAGGAGATCCCAATGGAATCACAGAGTCAAATGAAAGCAGTCGATACATGCTTTCGGACAACACACGATTAGCCATCGGACTATCTTGTGGCATTCTTTTCATATTTCTGATAACAGGCTTGATTCTTTATTTTTATTTAGCGCGCTATCGTAAACATAAAAAGGAGCCCCAAACTGCTTTAAGTCAGAATACACAGAAGATCGAGTCGAATGATACTTTATGCAGAAGTACAGGTAATGGAAATATATCTATCATCAGTCCAGTGAATTCGTGGGCAGCGGATTCTCTACTAACTCATTACGAAACTCTGAAGAAAGATAAAAATTCTGGTTTTAAAGGCAAAATGGTGGCACCTTCGGCAAATGCATCCGATAGTACTTCCATAGCTTCAAGTAAATATTCTTATAATGAAAAAATGAATTCTCCAGCTTCATTCTATGACTCTGTGTATTTCAACCAATATGAAGACCGTGATGATGTTAATTACCCTTACAATCCACGCTTTGTGCCATTTAATCCTACTTATACTTCTTCTTTAAGAAGACCGCCTACTGTAAATACGCTTCAACAGTATCCTCCAAACAATGTAAACTTTTACGATAGTGCAACTCTTAATGGAAGGCGAACATATCAACTCAAAACTGATGTTTGATTAATAATTAAAAGACTGATGAAAGTAACATTTCATTTTTATGTGTAAATGAATACATTTTTATGAACTGAAGAATTTCATTTTTATCATATTCACATATTATCACGCTTATTTCTGGATTCAACAGTCAAGAATCAAACTTATGTGAAATAACAGAAAAGAATATTCGAGTATAACGGAACAGAATTAGTCACTTACTCAAGAACTAATATCAAAATTATAAAAATTCTACTCTAAGAAAGTTCAAAGTGACTTATTAAGCATTATTTCATAACTTTAAATGATAAGGATTGCTCGAGTAAAAATTACTTCTCTTAAACAAAAATCAGTTCAATTATAATGTTATTTTAGTTGAAAAGATGAAGCTATACATTCACTCAGTGGTTAAATCATTTTCATCTATGTTTAAGCCATCTTCATTTGGTCTTCATCTTTATATCCAGATTTCAACCAGTGTTCACATTAATTTATAAATAGATAAATATATGGGTAAGTAAATAGAAAAGTGTATTAACGTTGAAAAAATAAGTTGTTTTAGATTAGTAATGAGTTCAACTTGTAAAATTAAGAAACAATTTTCCCAATAAATAGCTATAAATAGATAAAATAAAACTTCTAAGTAGTAAAGATATAAGTAATAATAATCATGAAATTCAGAATTAAATTAAAAAACCAATAGATTATTAGAATTTTGAAAAAATTTCGGAACTAAAATAAGTAGCATGTGTCCCATACCATAGGACACACGACAAATCCTTCAAAATGTTGATTTTTATTACATTAAAATCAAAATTCAACTTGTAAAATTAAGAAACAATATTCCCAATAAATAGCTTTAAACAAATAAAATAAAACTTCTAAGTAGTAAAGATGTGAGTATTAATAGTCGCGAAACTCAAAATTAAACTATAAGTCCAATAGATTATTAGAATTTTGAAAACATTTCGGAAGTAAAATCAGCAGCACATGTCCCATACTATAGGACAGGCGGCAAATCCTTCACAATGCTGATTTTAATTGCATTAAAATCAAAATTATGTCGAATCTGTCGTGTCTTCTATAGCATCGGAGATACGCTGCTCATTATAAACATTTTATCCGTTTTACAAATTTTAAAACACTCTCAAAATTTAATTTTAAATTTTTGTTCATTTTTATATAAAAACAATAAAAAAATAGAAAAAGTATTAAAATAGTTACAAAAAAACAAATTATATAAATTGTTATAAAATCAGGACAATTTTTAAATATTTTTATCTTAAAAAAATATCAAAAGTGACACTAAAATGATTAAATATAGTATGATTTCTATCATGACTCGTATTCACAGGGGCATAAATTTCAATATAAAACATTCCAAAAATAATATATATTTTGTAAAGGATTCAGACCGCATATTCTAAAGTTTTTCCAAATCATATAAATATTCTTCATCTATTCTTACCTTTATAGTTGAATATGTAATTTCTTTTATTAATTTTTTGAGTGCATTATTAGAAATTTTTCCTTGACATTTAAAAAAAAATACTCTTTTATTTCCATCATCTACTTCTATTTTTACAATACACGTATCTCCATATTTAGTTTGATTTTTTCTCAATATTAGAATATATAAGTTTAAAACATCATCTGATGTCGATGTTATTTTAGAAGTACCAGATGCAGATGAAAATGGGGGGCATTTTAACATTCTCAGTTGATTCCATTCTATATTTATTTTCTTTTCCATTTTAAAATATTCAAATGTAATCTTTGCTTCATTTTAAAATTTATAATGACTTAACATCACTTTGAAATCTTCAACAACTGCTTTCTAATTTTTTTTTTCATTAGCATGAATCATGTTTTCACTTTTATTTCTCTGAAATTGAAGTTGAATTTCAAAATTTGTACGTGCTTTTTTATATTCTCTGAAGAAAGCATATTTATATATTATAAAGAAATCCCTATTTTTACAATATTTCTATTTTTCGAAATTTATTCATTACATCAGATAATTTAGGGGCTTGAGTATCATTTTCTTTATAAGTAATAAAATTTTTTTAAGGTTTATCCAAAATTTTTTTAAGGTTGGATGGAGAAACATATTTGTACCTTCGGGTGTAAAATAATCAGGAGTATCGGGTGTAAAATAATCAGGAGTACAGTCAAAAGTCGTTAATTCGGACACCCATAATTCGGAAGGATCTATAATCCGGACCTCAAAACTAAAAACTTTCTGCGCATGCGCCGCGTTGACACATGCTCACAGGCGTTTACGCGTGCGCGTAAGACCTTTTACGACTGCGCATGTGAGTGTGCGCAAGTGCAGAATACGTTTTCGCGTGCGCGTTTTATGTATAATGGACGTATAAACTAAAATTATATAATTATCTATTTCAGTTAATGTTGATGATTGCATTGTTCCTTAATTTTCGAATTGGTTCCAGCTTATTATTTTTTGAAGACTGTAAGAGCAATTTTATAAAAGTAAGTTTAAACTTTCGATTATATCAAATAGAATTTCCGATATATATTTGTTAATATGTAAAGGATCTAAAGCGAAAGTATGTTTTGAAATCCGAAATCTGTTTATCAATTTCACGCTGCTGTGCGGGGGGGGGGATGTCTCGCAGCGGGCAATGAACTGGAAGTTATCTTCAGCGCAGATGTTTTTATTTTATTTGGCTTATAATTCCTTACCAAATGTAGTATTTCATCTCGATATGCTCCCTCTTTGATATGATTTAAACAAGTTCCTCGTCATTATATTCGCTTCCGATAGCGAAGAAAGTGACAGAGGTTATTGAAAACGAAAAAAATTTCGATTGACAAATTAGTCGGTATTCTCGCACAGCAATTATAGGACTTGAACAGCGGAACTTTGTAACTGAACAAGAAATTATGTCTGTTTAATAGAATTAAAGAGAAAGTATTATCACATGAAACGAAGCAAAACTTAAACAACTTACATGAAAGAAATGTTTAATAAAGTAAACAAATAAATATTAAGCTTTTTTTTTTTTTCTTTTTGCAAATTTTGATACCCTTTAGATCATAACTGTTCTTTATTTCATAAATTACGGTTTCATATTTTTAATTTTAGAATTTCTGCATGCCATCTTACGAGATTTAAACTGATGATCTATAATCCGGAAAAATCGATAATCCGGAATCGCCGAAGTCCCGACGAGTCCGGATTAACGACTTTTGACTGTACAATGAATCATTAATGAAGAATCAACATCAGGGGTAACTCTTTTCGTCATCGGGCCAAATGAGAATTTTCGTATCCTGACGCGAGCCAGATTAGATTAAAGAATTTAATCTTTTAGGCATGTGCCGCCATTAGATGATAATAATAAAAAGAATTAAAAATTTTATAAAAGAGAATAAAAACCCAAAAAATTAATTTATGCCGTACCAAATTCTCAATGTATTTAAAATTTTTTTAAAAAAAATATGTATTAGAAATCTGTTATTGGTGGTATATTTCAGGTAACAGAAGTACAGTTTGGAACAAATATTTTTAATGTGATAACATCAAAATAAATACGAGAAACAAGAGAAAAATTTAAGAAAAATCAAACGAGAAATGAAAACTCTAATGCGAAGGATTAAAATTAGTATATTCGTGATTCATAATTCCTTCGAAATATGGATTCAAATCACTCGTGGCTATTCATAAAATAGCTCCTAAATTTGAATCCGTAATTCGTGATCTTGTCCTGCTTTTTGTATTTTTCATTAAAGAGACTCTAACTTCACATAGGTTATAAGGTATTTCTCCCGCTTCCCTAGCGTGCCTTCGTGGTGTAACGGTAGCACGCTGGGCCGGTATTCAAGAGGTCCGTGGTTCGATTCCCGGCGAAGGCGGTTGCATATTTTTCATCTTTCCTACTTCCAATTAACCTAATGATTCTACAAGTGGCGCCCGAACTAAAAGGGTTGTGGATGATGATTCTCCGCACCCAGGATTTGCCGACTAGGTCCCCTAAAACCCTAGTCGCCCTTTAAAAAGGGGAGTATATAAGGTATTTCTCCCACTTCCCTAGCGTGCCTTCGTGGTGTAACGGTAGCACGCTGGGCCGGTATTCCAGAGGTCCGTGGTTCGATTCCCGGCGAAGGCGGTTGCATATTTTTCATCTTTTCTACTTCCAGTTAACCTAATGACTCTACAAGGTAGGTAGATCCGAAAAATGCAAAATATTTTTGAGCATCATGAAGCGTACTTTTGAACACTTCTGGATTTAAAGAAGAATAAAATTCTGTTACCGTTTTTATCTGCAAATTGGCTTTTAAGTATCCGATTTGATTCTAAATTTATCAGTTCCAACTGAATGCAAGGTAGTGCGTCGGCGACATTAAAATTAAACGGTTGGCTTACTAGCGATAAATCTTTGGAAGCCTTTTGAAAATCATCAAATCTTCTAATAAATATCAACGGAGAAGGAAAAGTCGTTCAGCCAATATTCATTTTGTAGTTCAGAAAATTCATTCAGTTTGTCCTTAGCACTTAATAATTTCATCTAACACGTCATAGAATCACTTTACCACTTTTTCAAGATTAAGCCACCCTATTTTCGTGTGGTAAGGAATATCTGTAAATTCAGAGTCAATGTCTTGCAAACATGTTACGAACTGCCGGTGGTTTCGAGCTCTTCCGCAAATAAAATTAACCACCTTCGTTACAACCGATGTTACATGTTTAAGTTTTAAAATTCTTGCACAAAGGGTTTCCTGGTGAATAATACAGTGTAGAAAATTTTTTTCTTTTCCTGGAATCTCCTTTATTTCGTCGCTTATTCTTTTTAATAATCCGATGTTTTTCCTCGTCAAGCTAGGACATCCATCGGTTGTGATGTTAAAAAGTGTTCTCCCATTTTATACTTTGTTTCTTCAACACTTCTTGAAGAACAATAAAAAAAACTTCGCCAGTCATTGTGTCTTTCATAGGATATCTAGAAAGTAAAGTTTCTGTTATTTCTAATTTATGATTTATAGCTCGAATAAAAATTTAAAGTTGACTAGTATTGTTAATGTCACATTAAAGCCCGTGCATGGTAAGAACAATTTACTTTTAATTGGCCACGTAAATTATTCGAAATATTACCAATTCGTCTCAAGAGTTCTTTGTGACAAAGAAATTTTTTCAAATGTTTGTTTCTTATCAGGCCATAATGTTTCAACAATATCTATCAAACATTCCTTCACAAATTTCCCCTCACAAAAAAGATTTGCACTGCTTTGCACCGTTTCGTGCATCAATGTATCTCGCTCTTATAAGAGCTCTCTCTATCTCTGTCTGACATATTTTTCAAAGTATTTTGTTGTTTTCGTAAAGGT